GGAGCGAGCGCGAATCAATTTCTTCAACGGTATGTTTAGCATTCATGGGAATATAAAAGGTGATTTTTGAAATGTTTAGGAATTTTGCATCGTCCGTTAGCGCATGTTTCCTGAGCTGGAAATGTAATAAAAATAGCTCTTTAACAAATTGTAAACAGGTAGTTTTCTAAAACATAATTTGTCTCTATATACTGCAAAGAACGTATAAACCATGGAACTCGAAAGAATTTATACTTTACCAGTCACAGAATTAGTCAAGTCAAAGACAAAGAGTCGAATTCCATTCAATGTAGATTCAGCTATGAAGAAATTTATGAAGTGAAATTATTGAGTGAAAATATTACTAATTTCTATGGCATAATGAGCGGATTATGCCTTAGAAAAATGTCGTACAGTATGTCGCACGGATTTCAGCGCATACTACTAATTTTTTTCCTACATTGATAAATTCGGTATTTCATGCCTCCCAATAACTCGAAAACATGAAACGTAATTCGTGTATACTAAAAAAATGTTCTAGATCAAACTCTATTATAACCGTACTATTATTAAACACTATCATTTTGCGAAGTAGAGAGGAGCTTTACATCATATCGTCATGTATAGAGGAGTTCACATCCTTTCATGATGTAGCAAGAAACTTTGCATCATGTCGTCATGTAGAGATGAGGTTCGCATCATGTCATTATGTTGAGAAGAGCTTTACATCATGTCATCATGTAGAGAGGAACTTTATAACAAGTCATCACTGTCTCTTATACACATCTAGATGTGTATAAGAGACAGATCATGTAGAGAAGAGCTTTACATCATGTCATCATGTAGAGAGGAACTTATCATCATGTCATCATGTAGAGAGGAATTTTGCATCATGTCGTCATGCAGAGTGGAGTTTCACGCGCCACTGACGCTCTCCTTCTCTGACCTGAACATATTGCGACAGAATTTTTTATATTTATGATGGAAATGCGGGAGGTTAAGATTGCACCCTCCTCCTTGTGCATTACACAGGGGGAGAAGTCATTGATTTATCCCAATAATTCTGATGTTACATGAGGATTATTTTGAAATTAGTCATGTCAAAGAAAAGTTCAGATAAGTAATCTCACGATTCCCGGATAATTAGTTATTAAAGGCTATATATTTTCTTGATAACTATAATACTCGACGGACTTAAGCAATGTCATTTAGAGGAAGATGCATGAGTTGCTGAAATAATTGATTCTTTAGGCTTTAAACTTTTAAAGTATAAACTTGAAAGACATGGGTTGCTGAAAAAATTGATTCTTTAGGCTTTAAACTTTTAAAGTATAAACTTGAAAGTTTCGTACTCGTATACATTAACTGAATACATACATTATACATTAACTGAATTATCCAATTTTGCAACGAGCTTTTGGCCTCGTAATTGAGGCTATACCCAAAATTGTAGCGCCTATACTCGCACTGTTTTCGGTGGTAAGTGAAAGTTTTTCTCTTCAGTAATGGGTCGGATTTCTATCTATTATACCTGAAGAAAACGTAGTGGTTCTGCTAACGCCTCAGATTCCTATTTTTTTTTCGAGTGTAGAAAAATTGCATTTTATGCGAACTACTTAGACGTTTAAAAGTCATATATAAAATTTTTATATTTTCGGTGTAATAATCATGAAAATTGTAATTATATGCTTCCGTTAATTTATACACCGATGTGAATTTGACTGCATAGTTTAGACTCAGCGACTAAAAAAATATCTTTTAACTCGTCGTGATGCCGATTCAATGATTTAATATCAACGTAAACTCAACGCAAAAGTGTAATAGCGTTGTGTAATGTGCATTCTTTTCAACATATTTAATGATTTACGAGTGTTTTCTATTCATACGGGTGATGATTTTATAATTGGGATAAATCAAATTAATTTTATATTAAATGTATTCAATTACAGAATTTCTCTTATTAGGTAGGTAACCTTAATCTTCTTGCATAAAAATTCTCACAGTTCGAGTGCTAGGCAAATGTATCACAGTTTGTTTAGATTAATGAAATTCAATAGATTACATTTTGTTTAGATTATTGAAATAAATTATGTTCTGAGCTAAAGTGTTCCAGCTCAATTACTGGCCAATCTTATGCAATTAAAAGTTAGTTTTTCATCCCTGAGGTTCAAATTGCTGAATGATGTTGGGTTTATAATTTTAAACCAGCCAAAGTGATGAAGGCTCGAATTATTTTAATTAATAGCGACGTGCGCTTCAGAGAATTGAAGTGCTAATAGCATTCTGGCCCGGGAAATATGAGCGTAAAATTGAAAAATATTACCGAGCTTTTTCCAGACGCAAAATGGCGGTAATTACAGCGAAAACTCTCCTTTTTATGAAAAATATGTAATGATAGGATATATTTTAAATTATATAAAATATTATGATGATGAAATTTTTATGATAAGAATCATGGGATGGGAATCTAATTATGAATTATGAGATGAATCATGGCTAAATTTTTTATTGATAATATACACACATGTGTGTACTATATACAAATACATACACACACTCTTGTATTTAATACACACAATTAAATACACATACTTGTAAGTGTTATCGCACTTGCAAAGAAAAACATACGAACATTTTTAGTTTAAATTATTGCTAAGCTGACTCGCTCGAACTTTTATTGTAAGTATTAAATGTTGGAATGAATCCAAGACTTCTTGCAGCATGAGTGTTTTCAATATCACATTTTATTGAAAAAATTATAATTATATTGAAAAAAAGTTCTTTTTCTTTCCAAATATTACTAACTAAGGTCTGGGTTGGTTGATTAACCTTATTTTTAATCTTTTACAAATTATGACAGGAATGTAAATTAACAAGTTTTATGGACTGATAAGCTCTATTAGTACGGGTACAGAAAATGCATGCGGGCAATATTTAATTAACATTTCAGCAGCTACTGGCAAAAAGAATTGAAATACTGGGCATCAGGCCTTATGCCTTTCTACCTTTTCGTAGTGAAGCGCAAGCGGTATCGAGGAAATGAACTGAAAACAGAAATTGAAACGTAACTTTATTTTTCGATCATTTTAGTTGTAACTTATGGGAAGATCTGTAAAGTAGCCAGCAATAAATAAACAATATTACCACGTTATTACCACCCAGAACTGCTAATTCTTGCAATTTTAGAATCCTCTTGTCCTGTATTTAAGAATAAAAATAGTGTATTTCCAATGAGTAAATAACCGTTCAAACTTTTATTTCCATTTTATAAAGAACGTTCCTTTGGTTCTCGTTTCAACATCTGTAAAACTTTTTATTTGTCTTCTAGATTAGGTTCCTCCTGATTGAAAAATTACATACAATTTTTGGTTTAATCCAACCCTCCCGTTTTGCGAACCTTTACTATTCTCTCATTAAGAATATATTATTAGGTTTAAGTATTGAAAAGTTCAAGAATCGGCAACAGGCCATGGACCTATTTCTTCAACGCCGACACTTCTATTCTATTCTATTACCTCTTCACGATAAGTTTCTTATATACGATACTTTTTGTGTCCAAGATATCGAAGGTAAATATCAAAACTACATACACAAACTTTAATTGACTTCTTCAAGATATTCTGGAATAATGCGGTTGCGAAATTTTGGGTTCGTTCAAAACTTAAAAAACTTATTGAATTAGAGCTACTATCACATCGTGGCAACCGGTCAAAATGGTAAAAAAATGGTAGCAGCAACCATGAGGAAGTTTACCTAGAATCATGAGGTGCAGTGACCTCCCTTCTTCAGCTCACTGCATGGAGCTTTAGGTCGTTGATCGACATGAGATCGCCTGAACTCGACTGAGTGTTGTCTAGCAGTGACGAAAAAATCAGATGATCATTTGTTATTGACTTTAAAGATGTAAAGTCTCAAATACGGTAAAGCGAACTTTACTCCATAATCCAGATTTGTGTAATTTATATGATAAAGTTTAATTACGGTCGCCTTAAATATTTAAAAAGTCAATGGCATCTTATAGGATATTGACTTACAATATTCAACATTATGACAAATTTAATGGAAACTCACCTGGGTATTAACACCAAGTGGTCGTTAACGGTTGATGTGAATGATCAATTAATAATAACCAATTAATTTCCGCGATGAAAGGCTATCGTTGCATTTTGTACGATCCTGTAACTTTTTCTCTGGATGACCCATTATCAGCCAGGCAATCCCAATTTCAGTCGTCACTTAGCATTTCAGGCAAAGCTAATTCATTAAATCACTTAAATCGTTAATGCACTGATAAATGAACTATTTGAAGTGTCTTCAAACCGGCAATACGTTACAGTACATTGAACCTTGATGTACATTAAACCATTATTGGTCTTCAGTACATTGAACCATTCACGAACACTTTCCAAGATGGCAAACACTTTTAATAATTCACGACAAAAAGACGCCACGCACCAGGAAGCAAAAAAGTGACACATTAATTAGGCAACCAGAAAAACTTACACGAATAAATTGTATGATATATAATTTTTCGGAAAATAAATATAAGTATTCAAGTGGGATTTCAGTCAACAGAGATGATTGCATCTGGGTCGAAGTTTTTTTCATACGTGTCACAGAAGATGATATGACATTTCTCTTTGAATAAAGATTTGTAGCAAAAACATTTTTATAAACAGTAATCAAAGGTAAAATATGAATACCCATGGCAGGCAGTATGTTTTTTAATGAAACCTTTACAATGTTTCCTTTTCATGTATGCCCTTATATATCAATTATATATATTTTTTTCAGGTTCAGCAGTTACGCGTTAGCGATGAGTCCCTGGCGAGCTTTTTTCCTGCTACTGTTCACGCTTCTCCTCCGTGACTCGAGATCCGAGGGCCGAGAGCAGAGTCGTCTTCTGGGTGACTCGAGATCCGAGGGCCGAGAGCAGAGCCGTCTTCTGGGTGACTCGAGATCCGAGGGCCGAGATCAGAGTCGTATCCTGGATGATTCAAGATCCCAAGGCGAGAGCAGAGCCGTCTTCTGGGTGACTCGAGATCCGAGGGCCGAGAGCAGAGCCGTCTTCTGGGTGACTCGAGATCCGAGGGCCGAGAGCAGAGTCGTTCTCTGGGTGACCCAAGATCCGAGGGCCGAGATCAGAGTCGTATCCTGGATGATTCAAGATCCCAAGGCCGAGAACAGAGTCGTTCTCTGGGTGACTCGGGATCCGAGGGTCGAGAGCAGAGTCGTTTTCTGGGTGACCCGAGATCCGAGGGCCGAGAGCAGAGTCGTCTTCTGGATGACTCGAGATCCGAGGGCCGAGATCAGAGTCGTTCGTTACCTAGCTCAAGGCATGGAGGTTCAAGTAGAGGCACGTCAGGCAATCCTGCATTGCGTGAACTCCTCGAAGCGATGGTCTCGGCAGATAATCGTACCGATGCCGGTGAAGGAAGCAACATGGACTCAGCATCACGGTTATTAACAACAAACAAGGTAAGATAAAAAAATAAATGTAAATGAAGGAAATGCTGCAGATTATTTTTAGAATTTCTCTTCTGAAACACAAAGCATCTATTAGCATCATGAGATGCTAATAGATGCTAAGAACAGATATGCTAATAGATGCTAAGAGATTAATTTCATCTGTTTGAATTAGGTATAAGCCTGCTTAAGCGTTTATAATTCCATCAGAAATGAGGCTTGATTGGATATCTTGAGAGGCATAATCTTGTCAATACTTCCTCCGGCGATAACCGTGGTTTTCCCGTTCGAACATGGAAGCAAGATTTCTGTTTATCAATGGCTCGATTTACTATCGTTTTAACAAATTTTCCTTAGTGCTGACCTCTGCTTTGGAATTTTCATTTCAATTTTCATTTTTTAGTTCATTAAATTTTGAAGACCGAATTTTGATGAAATCCTAACATATAATTATTTCATAACTCAGAAAGTTATAACATTATTATTGTAGGATATTAGAATAATTGAAATATTCAAATAAATATGAACCTTTTTGTAAGTATAAACCCTCTATTTTAAACCCGTTTTCTATTTTGACAGGAAGAGAGCACGCATTTCCAGAGATTTTCTTCTGACGACAAACCAGACCTAAATAATAGCTTCGAAAACTTTCTCAATCAAATCTTGGATTCACTTGAAGAAGATACGAGAAATAAGAGAAAAATTAACCCTAGTCATTCGCATGCGAATGTTCACCAAGATGACTTTTCAACCTTCACCGAATTCGGCGAACCAGCAAAATTAATTCATTTTAAAAAAATTCTTTCGATTTCTGCTCTAAGAAAAAGACTTCAAGAAGAACCTGACAGTAAACATTTATTTCATTCGAGTGATAGAAACATGATGATGAAAATGATGAAAGAATTGCCAAAAGATCTTAAAATGAGATTTATTTCATTGCTAGTTAAATCAGATCGCGATGGACTCCAAGAATTCCTAAAGGAATTAATTTCGCGCCACATGCAATCCGCCAAAGAAGATGCACTGCGATCTAATAAGCTAAGCCAAAAACAAGGACATAATTTCCAAGCTCCTAGAATAAGGGGGAAGTTCCTTTCATCCTCCAACCGTATTAACATTGATCAAAATGACGCCGCACTTCGCTCGGCGCGATTAATGTCGTCGGTAAATTTTGCTTCCCGACAAGGTGAGGCATCCAGCGGACCAGCAGCGGCACAGGACGGAGGATTGCTTCCTAATATCCAATCCGCGGTGATACTTTACAAGGAAACTATAAGTGAGCCGGGACAATCGATGCCGATCACTCGGAGACAAAAAGAAAAATCATCGACTCGATTATCAAGCGTTCATCCTAATTTGAATCTTCGTCAGTTCAACCGTAATATTGCCGTTCCGAAGCCGGCAAAGCTGCAGCATTTCTTCAGGCAGTCATCCGTTTCAGACGCGACGCCAACGCTTGTAAGCAATCAATTATCGATGAATCGCAGCGTTTCACTTGCGAATGATCCTTCGAAGACCAGTAATGCGCTCAGCTCTTCCGAGCTTTCCGAGATGTTAGAACGAATCAAGAACACTCCGGCTTTCAACAGTATAGTGGATAATGTAATAAAACTTTTAAATTCAGAGGAAGGGACGGAGAAGCTGACCTCTGTCCCACCATTTAACTCTGTAGGAAAATCTTTACTTGGGTCTGGTTCTAATGTGAACCAACGTGATCCTTCGAACAATGTGATGCAAAATGCGCAATCGGTCCTCAATAACGCGGTTGGAATTCCGATACCACAGCCCGGTGGCACTCCCATCGCAACAACTGGTTCACGAAAACAGGAAAATACTCCAATAAATAATTCAAATCGACCTGTAAATATACCTACAGCGCAAGGACAATTTCAGATTCCCAGCGGCGTCTTGAATTCGAATTTACAAACGATAGAAAATCAACTGAAGAATCAAGTACAACAGGTGCAGGTACGAAGGCCCCAAGCACCATTAACCGGTATAACGAATAATAACGCATTCGTGGATATCAAACAAGGAAATACTAGGGTTCGGTTACCGACGTTTGTACCATCACCGGTTCAAGCAGTAAAACCACAAACAATTGTTCCTCTGTCCAGTGATATTGAAGGCCAACTATTCGGAAAAGCAATTGAAAATTTCAAAGACGAAACTGAAGGAAGCACAACTTCTACTGGCAACTTCGTCGACGAAGATGACGATTTCAACAGCGATTTTCTGAATTTTGTGCCACTTTCCACAGACATTCAAGGACAACTAAATGACGTCCCTCAAATAACTGCTAACAAGCCTCAAGAAATAACAGGACAGGTGCTGACCAGCAGTGGAGTTCCACTTCCAATTGGTCTGGCAGAAGGGACTGCCACATCAGATAACTTTGGACTTGCTCTTGCCGACTTTGCTCAGCTGGACCAACAAGTCAATGGACAGAATTCGCTCGTCACTAGCAATCCAGTTGGAAATAGTCAGGCCCAAGATAATGGAGTTGGAGTTCCTTTACCAGGTATAAACAACGGCGCGCAGCAAACTTCGGGCCTCATCACGATGGCTGATATTCTCCGTACCCAACCCGGCAACAGCTTCGGAATTACAGTCCAATCCACTACAAATGGACTCCCTCAACAAACTGTTGGCGTTTCTTTGCCGCAAAATGGATTGAATGGCGCAAATACGCTGTTTTCATCAGGAGACGATGAACCCCGTCAAATATTATCAGGAATTGAAAGCGCAAATTTCGGCGGTCAAAACACTCAAACTGATATATTTGGCAACATAATAGGAATTCCATTACCAGACCTGCGTGGTTCTCCACTTGGTTCTGGTAACTTGGCACCGGAAACACAAGCAAACGGGGGACAGGCAATTGGTTCAGTGGGCGTTCCACTGCCCCCAGTAACTTCCGAGGGAAATACGCAAGGTCGGAATAGCTTTAGTTCAGTACAACAAACTGACATCTTTACTAACCCTATCAATCATCAGTCAAGTCAGTTCCCTGAATTTATTTCAGGTGGTAACAATAGGCCGTCAATAAGCGGCCACAATACAGTTGCCATAGGGGATCCTCTGCCTTCTGATGAGTCAATTTCAGATACCAGAGGCACCATTAATTCAAATAATACTCCGCAAACAGATATTTTTGGTAATGAAATTAATATACCCATTACACAGTTACAAAATATACCATTCTTTGCCTCAAGTGAAGAAATTCTGCCCCAAGATGTAGGAGTACCACTACCCACTCTTAGTTCTAGCGACTCTAGTCTGGATTCAAAAGCCCCAACTGACGCATTCGGAAACATTCCGTTGTCGGAGTTACAGAATAATCAGGGGCTGAACTTACCGAAATCACAAAACACAATAGACGTTGGGGTGCCACTACCAGGAATATCTAGTAATTTCGACGTCTTCGCCCAAACGAGTAATGTTGACACACCTACTGACACGTCTGCTGTTACACTTGCTGATGTACAGCCTACACTCGTATCTACTGTGTCTGATTCTGATGAATCTATCGAAGCCCTTGACGTTTCCATTAACACAAATCTGCCCTCTGACACGAAGCCTGATTTAGGTAATTACGATGACATTGATGAGAAAGGATACCCCAGAAACACGAACAAGCATCAGCTAGTAACATTCTTCTCTTCTGGAGTTCTTCTTCCTTTTACTGAGAGAGAAGTGAAGTACGAGAAGAAACCGATTGAGCCTGAACCGGCTCGACTTGCTCCTCAGTATAAACATCACTTCAAAGTCTATAAAGAAAACGACGTTCAACACGGGAATCTTGGCCCACAAAACAATTATCAAATGCCAAGTTTGACGTATACTGGTAAGTCATTTGAGAACTTTGATAGGCTATTTCTGATTGTTGTTGTGTCTTTGATGTGTTGAACACACGTTTTAATTATTAAAATTGAACAGAAACGAAATTATCAAGGCAAGTAATTGCATGCTTTGCTAGTAATATTGATAGGCTATATCTGATTGTTGATGCATCTATGATGTGTTGAACCTACGTTTTAATTATTAAAATTGAACAGAAACGAAATTATTCTGGCAAGTAATTGCATACATTAAAATTTAACGCAGTTTTGGAAGAGCCCAGTGAGAAATAATACAATACCTGCATTAAAGACCCACATCTGCCAAACAGTACCAACACTAAAATTTAGCATTAGATGGCAGAATTTGCTGGTTTAAACGTGGGCGGTTAATGACCAGAGAATTCATTTAGTTAAATTTTCGGGGTTGAAAAGTTCTTCAGGAGACTTTGGTTGTTTGAAATGCAGGTTTTAAGAAGTAATTTTAACGTAATGACAACTTTTGAAATGTGACAACATTCATTTTCAAGTTATTGCAAGCATTAAATGTTCAAATTTTTGAGGAAATAAGTACATGAGACACGTAAATATAATACAACACGAAAAATAGGAACCATGAAAATAATTCCGAAAAAGTTTTAAAGTTCAGAAAATCCAGTATTTATGAGATGGATAGGTGGAGTCCAACCCGTAGAGATGAGGGCCTATACTTTCAAAACTCGCTAAGTGAACGTAAGTACTTACGCTCTATTTTCTTGTCTATGATTAGCGGATTTTGCTTGAAAGGCCGTCAATGATTGGCTGATGAACTTACGATCGCTTTACTTTTTTTGAAAGTATAGGCAGCTCCAGTTAGCGTAGGTAAGTAGATGTAGGGCCACTCCTTGAAGATGATTCTGTTGAGTTCTTCTAGCACAGTGCGAGTGACTGTCTTGTTGAGTTTGACATTGTTGTCAATGGTGTCATGGAACCTGTTGAATTCATCGCGGATTTTGGGATGAAGTAGCTCGATTGTAATGCTTCGAGACCTGATCCGGTTACGATCTTGTCTCATCTCTCAGGTTAAATCGCAACCTTATGATCATATCCTGAAAATATACATCAAAGAATTCTCTGGTCATTAACAGCCCATGTTCAAACACACTGAAAATTTGCATAGTATTTCGAAAATTATTCGAAAAATTATTATATATTAAAATTATATTATAAAATTATATTATCATACTTATTTTTTCCGTGCTAACCACAGTGCCACCTGCCCTTGCTGTCAACACAGCAGCCTCATGCCTGCAGTCCCGTACGGTGGTCACAACTTCTGTCCTCCTGGTGGACCAGCCGACCAAAGTGACGACCATCACAGAGCTTCACACCGCCGTGCAGATGGTCAAGTCCTATTATGTCACTCCGGTGACGGTGGCTCGAACCTTCTCAGTCACGGCGACCAACACCATAACGCGATACCAGGTATTAAATGTTCAATTGTTTCACTAACGAGTCTTCATAACTATTTTACAGTTATGAAAGTAAAATAATAGGAAAATAATTACCATAGGATATTAATCCCCTCCCAGCCATGGCAACCAACACAGTAACGCGATACCAGGTATTAAATGTTCAATTGTTTCATAACGAGTTTTCATAGCTATTTTACAGTTATGAAAGTAAAATGATAGGAAAATAATTATCATAGGATATTAATCCCACAAATTACACGGAGATATTTAAATATACAACTCAAGTCATAAGATAAGACAAAAGCGCATTTTTCAGCCCTTAAGAGGACATTTATAAAATAAACGGCCTTAATTCTATGCATGAGATTCTTTCAGCGACGAGGAATTTTAACACCTATTTTAGATAGGCATATGATAGACACTAATTTTCACGGGAAAGGTTAAGGTCTCTTCTTTTAGTCCGTGGGAGATGATGAATGGTGTCACTATAGCCTGGCAATTCCGTCGGTACGTCGCCCTAATAAATTCAAGAGACAGGAACTCTTGTGCATACTGATGGTGTAGCTGCATATTTTTCGCATGCGCAGTCGCCAGGCTGCAAATGCTGTACAAAGTAGCGCGGAATTTGTGTGCCTATCACCGGCGATATTTTATAGCACTCGGGCACTACACTCGCGGCGATATAACAGAGTTGCTGTTGCTAGCTCGCTGCTTTAGATCTAAATGATTTCTTGTTCCTGTGTCCATGTAGCTTCTATATGCTGAGTGCGGGTTGAGATTTTAGCAAGTTTTGGTGTTGTGCATTTGGTGAAAATTTATTGAATGACGTCGCGTGTTTGCTGCATATTATGTTCTGAAATTTTGTTCCATAATTTCAGCGAATTTAATTTTTCTAAAATAGTTAGATTGGATGACGTATTGCATGATATCTCTTCATGCGATATTGTGGCTCACTTTTTACTATATATTTGCCTGTTATCTTCTACTTTGTTTTTATTTGACCGATTAAATTCTAACTCTATGGGTTGAGCGTTTGTGGCAGTTATTTCCTTCATATTAGTTACTAATAAAATTTTACTGATTTGACGTTCATCTTCAGAAGCCGGAAACCGACAAATACTCTCGACAAAATGACTATCACGAACCACCAACTGTTCATCGACTCCTGGGTATCCCGATTGTGAGTACAGGATCGTATTTTTCATCTCATGTTGCAAAAATCTGAAGCAGGGATTCTTCGCTAATAAATTCTCCTTTGGAGTGAAGTAGGATAAATAATTTTTTTCGAACTCTGCCGACATTGATTATTTCATTAGTACTCAGCCGTAAAGAATTAATGTTTTAAAATGTAATGACTTCTTTGAATATAAAAAGCATAATTACTGCAAACAACCATCGATGTAATCATGCATTGACACTAGTTGTATCATGTCTAATGTGTTTCTCTTTATGGGACCATTGAGTGAATCAAATTCAAATTCTTTACATATATTACATAAATATCATACAAACAGGCAGATCCTCAGCCTGCGTTCGGAATTCATCCTGGAGTCTTGAGTTTACTTCACCCTATAACCGTGAGTGACGTTAATCTTCAGTTCCATTGCAAGAAACCTCTAATACAAGTCGTCATTCAATGACACTGAATGAACTTTTTCATTGCACAAAATTAAAGAAAAAACTTTCCAGTTAAGTTTTGACTACAGCTTATTGCCCGTCCTATCTACCCCATCTCAGATTTAGGCTCGAGTAAAATGCTCCGCATATTAAAAATTGAAATTTTTTGAGCTTTTTGGAGTTTTCAGTTTGGTATTCTTAAAAATTTTTTCCATCTTTTTATCATCTTTTGCTCACTGCATTTTCCCATCATAGTAAATAAAGTTCAACGGCCTTGACGTAGGATGACATATTGAGCATTTTTACTATCGTATTTTTTTTTGCAGTGAAAAAGAATCGTATTATCCAATTATCAAACAAAACACGATATTTCTAGTAATTTTATGTTAACAAGTTTATGTTGAAACAATTTATCAACAAGGTAGCTTTTTTTTCATCTGTGAAAACATAAATTTAAGTTAATGCATTGTCAAAATGTATGCATATTGGGATAAATAAATATACTAATGCTGTAAACAATGCTGAATGGTAGAATTTTTCAAAGACGTTCCTTTAAGTTACTAAAAGACATACAAAATATTCATATTATTCGGCAGCGCTCCTCTCCCACAACGAAGAGACGAATTGAGTCAGCTTCACCCGGCACTAGAAATTACAAAATTTCTAACGTAAGTTACAGCAAAACATTAACGATTTTTTTTACTATATACTATGACGATTTTCCATGATTGAGAAATTTGCAACGATTTATCTTTGCCCGGCACTAGAAATTACAAAATTTCTAACGTAAGTTACAGCAAAACATTAACAAATTTTATTGCTATATACTATGACGATTTTCCATGATTGAGAAATTTGCAACGATTTATCTTCGTCCGGCACTAGAAATTACAAAATTTCTAACGTAAGTTACCGCAAAACATTAACAAATTTTATTGCTATATACTATCACGATTTTCCATGATTGAGAAATTTGCAACGATTTATCAATTTAAAGAAAATCATACTTATATGACCGTTTTTCCTTCATCACTAGAAGAAAGGCGAAGATGGAACTCAAGTTATTCACTTACAGGGACTGAAATACGTGAGTTAATTGGTCTGGTTCCGCGTCGAATGACTTCGTCGCATACACGAATTGAAAAATAATTGTTCACGAGTCAGTCAAACTAACAGATGAGTGATTTCTAGCCGACTTCAGAGAATGTATCCCTTTGTCACAATTTATTAATCAAATAATTAAGAAGTTGCATATACAAATCTAGTTTATTGTTAATTTCAAGTCACGGAAGCAAATAAGAAATAAACTGAAGTAAATGTGATCAAATGATCATTAAAAATTTATAGTTCAAATAATCTCGTCTGACTAGTTAGACTGAGTAGAACTCTTTAATTGACTACAGTCCCGAAAATATAGCTTAAAATAACCTAATTGAACACCTACTGAAGAAGTTTATCAACCAATATTAATGAAGACAATGGACCGTCTTTTTTCCAATTATTTATGATTGATAAGCTTTTCATTCCCATAGGCGAGACGCAAACGTGCAGCCGACTGTGACCGAGACTCGACGCAAGTTGAAAAACTGACAGGTTTTGAGGTACGCTTCTCTTGACCTGTTCACCGACTTCTCATCTTTACTTGACGGACATTATTAATTATTCAATTGATCGTATCTTTTTATTACCAATATATTTTTTCGAAATCTAGTTTACCTTCTGTGCATGTCTTACGAATTCAAATTCAATTATCTAATGTCGCTTTGATGGTTTCAAGCTATTGTTTTCATTGGGGATAAACACGATTGTGAGAGAAAACTGAAAGAGAAACTGGAATGGTCGAATAAGCAAAATTATCATCAGAATTTAGACTTAAAAATGGAATTGTCGAATTCAGCTCAGTCAATTGCGCTACCTTCGACAATAGTTCAATTAAATATTTTTGCAATAATCACTAGAAGTTCTCTGCATGCCATTTGTTGCACTGAAGATATCACCAAACTAGATTCTCAATAAGTCAAGTTTTCAATTGCTCTGGCATGAAAACAAGTAATTGCAATATGCCTCCATGACTAATCCGAAGCCAATTTGGCAAAGATTTTCATGGTGGTGATTGCCGCAATTTGCCTTTGGCTTCCTCATCCTGGGAATTTAACGATCGTATCATACATTTTTTATCCCTAAATTCCAGAGAAGTCAGATATTCGTTCGCTATTCGTGGAGAATATTAGGTAAGTATTCTATTTAAACAATCTACAGTGCGACTACGAAGAGCAAAACGTTGTTCATCAAGTCATGGGAGATGAGCTAGAGATGAGGGGGAAAAATTTTGCAAGTTAATTTGGACTTTTTCTCGTACCTTGAGGGAGTCAAGAATTTCATTATTTATGATGCCTGCCCACAATATCACCTCACTTTGTCCCTGTTGGTGACGAAATTGGTGATGCAATCTCCATCAAATTCAACGAAAATCCAAGTTAGCTTTGGCTTGCCTCATCTCTGGCTTGTCAATCAACTCTCAATTTCAAACGTCGTTTCGTCAATGAAGCGTTGTTTTTTTCCCAATTTTTAAGGCTGGAGAGAAACGTAGCGTGCAGTTCAGAGTGGTTCTTGCAGCCCGTGGAGAAAAAAATCAAATAAAAACCTATTTTAATTTCAGAGTTGGAACATTAAAAATTTAGGTAATCAGTTTATGGCCATAGGTATATTTTTTATTCATCAAATGCTACGAGCAATAAATAGAAAAAACCTGTTGTGAGATTTGATACTAAGTGGGTTGACTAGTAGTTAAAACCACCACATTTACCTGCGTGAGGTGCGGGTTCCGGCCGCAGTAGCTGTGATATATTTTCGCCATATCACTAGCCTCCCTTCAAATACGAGACAAGCATCAAAATTTAAAATTAGAATAGAATATATTTAAAGATACAAAATTCATCAATTGGAAGAATGTCCTAGTTTATGCTTTTTCAACTATTTCTTATGATCCTTAAATCTCGCCAATAACCTCTTTTCACACAGCTATCCACAGAAACATTGCTGCAATTGAATGATTTGGCAAATAATGCAACATCAAAAGCTGCGTTCTTTAATATTCATATCTTGATGTAAAGGCGTAATGACGCTGCACCGAAATAATCATCTAGAATCAAGCCATATCCCGAAGGAATTTTTCAAGTCGTCTTTTCATTTCAGGTAACACCAAAGAACAACAGCATTAAGTCCCCGTTTATCGTCACCCGAACTGTGGGCGTGGGACAACGGATTCCTAATACGGTCTATGCCGTGCCGGTCTCGAATCATGTTCGTCAGGACTATGACTTGCCGGCTCAACATTACGCAACTCCAACACTTCAACAAGATTATGCATTGCCTGAAAAACAAAACCATGCCCCAGTTCAGCAAGAGGCTTCTGAGTCTGTTCAACAGAACTATGGACTTCCCGCCCTACAAGAGTATTCTCCTCCTGTTCACCAGCAATACTCGCCTCCTGTTCAACAGAATTACGTTGCACCCGTGCAACAGGATTATTCTCCTCCTGTTCAACAGGAATACTCGCCTCCTGTTCAACAGAATTACGCTGCACCCGTGCAACAGGATTATTCTCCTCCTGTTCAACAGCAATACAACGCTCCTACACCACAAGAGTTCTCACCTCACGTTCAGAGAGCATTGTACGTTCCACCAGCCAAGTCAGTGTATGCACCATCCAGTACAACTGTGTACAGTACTGTGCTGCAAACCTTGACAACTTTAGTGCCAAGGACAGTTATTTCAACAAAACACTTCGTTTCTACTGTAAGCTACGGCCAGACCGTAACCACTATCAGAAGTACGTCAGTGTACTGTATAAAACCAGAGCAGCGCAGAGGCCAATATAATCAGTATACTCCTCCAGTATCACTCCACTCAGCCACTCCACCTTTACCTATCAGTCCTCATCGTACTGACTACAAAGGAGAGCCCACAGCCTTTATTCGACCTACACCACATATCAAAGCTGACCCGTCTTTATACCAGACGTGGGTTGGAGCCCTCGTTAATGGAAACGAAGGTTATACCGATCCTCATGGAGCTGAGATGCCGACCAAATTCATCCTTCTGCAGAACTTGAGACCGAGAGGGTTTGTACTTGAGGATGGATCTAAGGACGGTGGGCTTCACGTGAAGATATCTCACAATGAAAGAAAATACGGAGGGATAATTAATAGGAAATTGAACTTTGATGATGTTGATGACGATAGCTTAGAGGATGAGGTAGTGCATGCGAAAACTTTTCCTTTAATTCAAAGCTCGTTGCGACTTAAGTAGTTCGATATACAACCTTAGCGACATAAGAGTTATAAGTTATTTTTTTTTGTAAGCATATGTTCTTCTACTACTTTTCTTGAGCTGTAAATGTAATAAGTTTTGATACTTGTCTAAGAAATAATGATTATGAACAGTTTTTGGGTGATAAATTTAGTTCATTATAAAATACATATCTGAGAATTAGTTTTAATGAATATTTAGCTGAAAACATTAAGCAACAATGTTGACCTGAGGTGATGTAAAATGTATGCAGACCTCTGAACTATTCAAAGAAAAAGAACAATTAATTTAGATACCAGAACGACAATATTAACTGAAGTGTCGAAGTCACATTTATGAATTACTTCGTATAAAATATAGGTTCTTAATTTGGAGTATAATCTAGTCGAAATGTGTCATCCTAATTTAGGGGAATATGGAACAAATAATGAGATAATCTGATAATAAATTTTCCTATTTTTGGGCGCCTTTTAATGCTACAAATGCAACTGCTCAGTGCAATTTTTCACATTGCATAAACGTATAATATGCATATTAACTTTTACATGTTTTTAAGATATTAATTAAACATTATTTTATTCCAAGTTCAAAAATGTTTGCGAGCAACATGTCATGGGTCTGTACATGCTCAACTCGCTTGATGCAGTATGTTATCTTTAATGATACATAGGGATGTTTAAGCTTCATACAGTATCTTTCACATCTAAATTCCATGAACATTTCATGCATTTTAAATCCTTTCAAATTCACTGCAAGACTATAAGAAGATTTTGTGCCAGCCAATAAATTTTTTGCTATAGAAATTGATCAATCAACCAATAAAAGAAATCTTTCATTCACTTTCATTTATATTTATTGTTTATTTTTTTTTTTTTGGGGGGGGGGGTTGACATAAGAGACTATTTTATTTCCGATAATTCCTTGAAAAATTAGTAGGCTTATGAAATGCCTGTTTAAATGTATAAATTAAATTACTTAATTTACTTTCTAACTAGCGAAATAATGTAATTATGCAAAATTGAGTCGTGCCATTCTAGGACAAGAACTTTTTAGTGGAGAAGAGTACCCCAGAAATCTAGAAGCATAGGTACTGCAACAAAGGGTAACTCTTTGATGTTCGAAGAGTGAAGCCAAAACATGGTAAATTTCCTGTTGATATTTGTAGCCTCTAGAAGAAAATTAATTTTAATACAAAATTTGACATATGTCGGGTTCGTGATTATTTTTCTTTGTCGTTATCTAGTTAGTGCAACAGAATTTATTGTAAATAAATTATAATGATTACGCGAAATATTTGTTATTTTCCTGGTGAAGTAATTAAATTTGGATATGTTAAGAAAGTTATGAAAATGGAAAATTTAATCGATGGTTTATTATTTAAAGTATTAATATTAATTCAGAAAATCAATAATGCCAGTCAATAGGAATATTTTCAAGTTCAATATCCTTTTCTGGCGTGCAAGCAATTGAGTCGTAATTAAATTTTGTGAACAGTTTTTTATGGTGCTTTCTAATAGTTGATTTGAGATTTCTACATTTTATCATCATTACTCTGACGCCATTTGTTCCCCGTCAGAACACGTCGTCCTCACTCAGGTCCTTGGTAAAATCCTTACCAAACATTTTCCGAAGTCCTGATAATTTCCGTGTCCCTGATGGAGTCACAAAGGCTCTCAGTCAAAAGGCAGTGGGGCCCTTAGCGCAGCGCTAGAGCAAGCGTCCTTTAAAAATTTTTACTTGCGTTAGAAAGTTGCAGTTTAAAAAAAATTCGAGGATTGTCCATTAAGCAGGGCCTTGAAAAATTCGTCTTTCAGAATCCAGACATCAGCTGAGCGATCTTTGTTGCCGAAGAAGTTTTGTTTTAAGAGTGCCTTGCCCCCAAAAAAAGTTTGCCATGAGGTCTTCTTTCTTCAGCTCCATTTCTGCAAGAATGTCCATCCTTTGAAGTGGATGACGGTGAAAACAAGTCAGCTTGGAGACCATCAAACTTTCAAGGATTCTTTAAAAAAAATCAGACCAAGTCAGATGTCTTTGAATTTCTTCGGAGGAAATCGAAACGCAACCACATTGATTCTAACTCGCGTGACTAGTACTTGAAGGAAAAAATGTATGGTCAAAAAACAAACAAAAAATTCAAGTTTATGAATTCCGAGATTTTTCCATCAAGTTTCAATATTATAATGTTCCAGATGATATTTTTTGTCGACATTAGAACTCCAGTAAATTATGTCAGTTTGTTAATTTCACGAGAGTTTCTATCCTTTCTAGCTACCAAAAGACTTGCTCGGAATCTACTTCGATTGTTAGTTATAATTTGAAAATTCAATGTAACTTCTTTTGAATGAAGATTTGTCGGAAATGATTCTGGGATGTTTTCACATTAAAATGGAATAGCCAAATAAATTCACTATGCCCTCGGTCCTAAATATTCAAGAAAGCTACCGCGAAGGCCGAGAAAAATATGTAGTAATTTAATGTTTTGCGGGACCAGTTTTCAATTTTCGTTTCATAATCCAAGTGTCTAAATTCCCTTCGCGAGTAACATACCAACAAAAATCCTTAACCCTTTTAAACCGGACTCAGTTTAGAGTGTGTGAATTATAAGCAGAAAAAACGATACTTGTGTTTTGAGCCTCAAGACAAATATACGTAACGACAACACTCATGTTAAATTTGTATTCAAATCGAGTGGTAGCATAGGCACTGATTCAAGCTGATGAACAGTGTCTAAGGTGTCTGTTAAAAATTTAAAATTATGTCGAATACCCACATGCAGAATTTATTTGTTCGATTTACGATACAAACTTTTTGTGAAGCCAGAATGATAGCTTGAAAGTTTCATATGATAATAATTTAATGGGCGACTGGATTTCCGTGGAATGTTTTATTTTTAAAATCCTTTCAAACATTTAAAAAAGTTATGAGTAAACGAGAAAACAAATGGAGTATCGGGTTACCAAGCCTTGTTGTTTTCTCACTTTTACATATGTTGCTGTTGGATGGATTTTTTTCAATAGTTTTTTTCAAAAGCAGAAAAATAACCTGGAATCTAACCCCGATTACATTAAGCGATCACATTCTTTCCATTACGACCTTAGAGCCCGTTAGCCATTATAAAGTTCCCGTTCATCGTTAGGACTTTGTGACTCATAAAGGTAAAATAAATTATGTTAGTATTTTAATGTTATGTTAATTTTTATTGATGAAATCGGGAAATGGTACCTGTTTCAACATTCTAAAATAAAAACTGACTCCAGAAACACTAGTATGTAATAGACTCGGTGTCCGGTAGCCGAAATCGGTATTTCGATTACCGGCAGGAACTGTGAAGAGTCAATCACTCGGTCATTTCCATTAGTTATTAGCCGTTCGGACAAACGAAGTTCATTTGAGGAAAATTCATGTACCGAATAGTCTTGGTTATCTTATCTAGAAAGTTCACATGTGAATGATGCGCCGTAGGAACAACTTTGATGATAATCTAGAAGATAACGTTGAAGATAACACAGAAGATAAAAATTTGCAACAGATGTATGGAGTAGAATGCTTTTTTGATAGAAAATAGCATCTGTTCTGAATAAAAAATAACCACACGATGAAACATTCGTAAAATTCTCAAACGTATTCCTCAAAAGTAATCAAAATAGAACAACATATTCGTAAAACAATGTGCCTCCAACAAAACGCCCATTGTTATTTGATGTTACTGACCAAACAGTGTACACGCTTATCGAATAATGTCATATCAATTCATTATAAGTACTTGCTCTCTATCTTCTTTCATTCCTTGCAGCTGTAGATTGCAGTACATTACAAGGTTCACTTTAGTGTCATAATGGCCACTGTGATATGAGAAGTCGACACTAAATCTTGCCTTACCGAGGCAATAAAAAGAATTACCGTGAAGTACCACTGGCTGTAATCGGGCTCTGTTTAGACGTTATTGCTTTCTACAACTTGCAATTTATAATTTCTATAGATTTCGGTAGTTTCATATCGTTGCTTCTTCTTTTTCGTGATTTTGATTTGAATCCTAGCATTATTTAAGTTCCGCATAGAACATTGCGGTATTTGTTGGCTTCTACAGATATTTGTACGCATTGAAAAAGGCTATTACATGTTTTAGGGATAACAGCAGCACCGTATTTATTATTTAACCGTTGCTTGACCCTAAAAAACTCCAATTGCTTATATAAAATTTGATATTATATAAATAGGCCTTCAGCAACGCAAACGAAAGTCAAACCCGTATTTCTTTCAAAACTTATTTGACAACTGCTCACTTCCGCTGCTTTATTTTTAAGCCTTGTCTGAAGATAATTTCACAAGTTACTGCAGCAAAAGTTGTTCAAATAGCACAAATATAAGCGTTGGACATGGCATCATGGCTGCCGCTTGTAGCGAACTCGCTTTCTCGATTGAAGTTCCGCCATGAATGTCTGCGGACGATCCCAGCGCTGATCCGACATACAAGATTCGCGTCGACCAGGTGAGCAAACTAAGATGGAAACAGAATAATTCAGAACCATCTTAGTTCAGAACCATCTTAGTTCAGAACCATCTTAAGAATTCAGAATTCAGCATTGCTATTAATCGAGCTGCTTACATGTATAATAAAATATAATAAAAAAACGCTAATTAACATTCCAAAAACAAAATTTTTAATTACTGGTATCATGCAAATAGGGTTCGTTTAATAGACGTAAATTAAGATCATTATTTTAGTTATTTGAAGGGAGACCCGTCCCAACACACACATTCAAAGGAACTCCCATATAACTTCTTGTCTGATATTCAAATTAACGCACAATTTTGTATTATTCAATATGATGTCAAGGGACGAAAAGGGAAATAAACTTTCAATACCTTAATTCAGCCTTCTCTCTCACTTTTTACAATGCCTAATGATTAACCAAGGTTAGTCATGATTAACCAGTTATTCACTTCGGTTTAAATAAAGTATAGACAAATATAATTTTCACCAAAAAATATGTAAATAATTTCAAGTCCAAGAAGTATCCCGACACGGTCTGTATTGTTGGTGTGTGCACCATTACCTCTTGTCCATTGCAATGTTCAGATCTTAAATTAAATTTAATTTAAATTAAGTCTTAAAACACACAAAAATCAGTCACAAACTACAATAGATTACAATACTCATAAGCTGCACCAGATGAATGCACACGACTCACTGATAAATTTATGAGCTTAGTGTTCTCTAACATTTATATATAATTCAAGTGCCGGTTTCCAGAGAACAATTGTACCTCTTGCGCATTTATTAAAATATCCACATGCTGAATAAGACGATAAACAACGTTCCTAAATTATGCATCCTTGGTCAAAGGTTTGCACTTCCGTTAATTATTGAATGCAAGAAAAAAATTAACTTGCCAATATATAATTCGAGAACTAATTTTAGATTTTCATTTAATATCTTGTATGTTTGCATAATGGGCATTCCATGCCAACTTTACTTGCTCGTAGCGAGATCAAATTAACGTTGAGGCATCGAACATTGTTGGGCTTTGATAACGCACGACCGTAACAATAGAGCTCTAATTTCATCCCACATCACCGGCTTGAAGCAAGCAATCTTCATGAGGATAGTCATCAGTCGACAGCTGCTTGTGCTCGATACATATACGATTATTTCACGTCTGTTTTGCTGCATTTGGATGCTTGGCTTTGTATGTGGCTATCGCAGCAGCGGCGGAATGGATCCCAAGTAAAGTGTTGCCGGGCGATATTGCGTTCACTTGCATACTGAGAGCTATGCAACTCTTGTTTCTGTCACTATTATTGAACACGAGCAAGAATTTAGAGTCCGGCTTCTAATGGTTTCCATCTAGCGTTCCAGGTTAAATTTGACAGCGTCTCAGTCTTGCTGAAAATGAGGATACGGAAGACGATAAGTGCTGCTGCATGTCCGTCTGTATCTCGGCAACATCGCTGGCACGTTTCAAGGATCCTACCGAGACGCAGGCCATTCGCTTATTTATTTGCATAATGAGGATTCAGAGAAAGAAAAGAAACGAAATGAACAATTAATTTACGTTCGTCATTTGAGAAACGCTTCACACAGCGTCGCACGTCATTTTCTTTAATGAAGACAACGGTTATTCAAACTGAACAGTGAACATTTGATTAGTAACGTTCTCTAAGAAGCTTCCTTACGAGAAAGTGTTAACGTTGTAAAGTGGTTTTCAAATTTATTAAAAATTTCGATATTAAATTATAATATTATTTCGATAAAATATTATTTCGATAAGTTTCGGATTGCATATATTATTGGAAATTAATATCGCTATTTTATTTTCGGCCCTTACACATCCTTTTTCTGTCGATACACAAAAACTTTTTTTTTCTTCTTCAAAATCAGAATACAGTCTAAATAAAAAAATTGCATATATATTTAATCCTAATGGATTACGAATTTTTTCTGTACGTACTACATTCAAAATTTCTACTATCTAAAAATTAAGTTTATTACTTTGCCCCCGTGTTGCACTCAAGATCACCGGAGCTGCCGGGCGACGCGAATGTGGTTGTGATTGGCGGAGGGGTGGCCGGTACCAGCCTCGCGTATCATCTCGCCAAACAGGTGGTTGTCCACGATTTCAAATTTTTAAAATCATAATTAGTTCTTAGAAAGTCATATTTTGAAATATGTACATTGTAATTAAATCTTTGTAAGTTATATTTGTTATAAATTGAATGTACTTAATATTGAATCTGCTATATATTATTACGTTTTATGAATAACTTACACTGAGCATTCTAGACAATGTCAACAGAGCTAAATGATGGCAATCCTAAACAAACAAAATCCCAAACAAAATTATCCGAGCGAAAGACCGTTTCTTCCTGCTCTGTTGTAGTGATTCTCAAATAAAGGCACTGAGAATTATAAGAAACCTTGTTCAATTAAGCACGCTGTAATAAAAAAAATATAGCTCAGTACTCACTGCGCAGTGAGTGACAGAGAGCGCATTTTCTCGTCGACGAAAACGTGAAGTCACGGATGGACAGACAGAAAGTCATGGACGGACAGACAGACAGACGGACATGGCGAGCACAATAGTGCATTTTTTCCATAAATGAGAAAATGCGCTAAAAAGACCTCTGTTCTCCTTCCCCTATCTTCCCGTTTATATATTCAGAGAATTTATTCATCTGTGTAGATTGAATTTTTTATTTAATTAAATTGAAATAAAATTGACATTTGAAATCTTCCTTTCAACACACGTTGAGCGGAACTTAATTTTAAGTAGTATTTGAGATCTGCTCCATTTTTTATAAAGAGGAGGCCCACTTAAAATTTTGATAAATGTTTTGATTATTTTCAAAATGAATGAAATATTTTTGGTCGAAAGCTTATGAATGTGAGAAAATGCTTAGGAGCGTGAGATAAAGGAGGGAAATATGAATGGGAAATCTTTAAAAAAAATTCGTGAAAGGACTGCTGGGAATGCGCTGATGCTTATTGAATATAAAAAAAATAATTAAATGGATTAAAAATTCTTAAAATTCCATTTAGAAAATTTACCGAAACGATTGAAAAATGATTGTCGAAAGTTGTTTCAAGAATGACAGTGTAAAGTACAGAAGATCCACCATAAAAGGTAGAAATAAAAAGAAAAAGATTTAACCCTATAGCGCCGTATGTCAATCTCCGGGAACAAAACTTTTAAGGTAACATAAAGGTAAACTATTGACTGTTGTTACTGTCTGACGAATGTCCGCTACAGAAAACGTATTAAAGTTGTCGTACGTGGCGGCAACCATCAGTACAAGTCATTTTGCGCTCACTAGCAACGTATCCTTTTTGGGGAAGTAGGTTTCTGACAATATTGCTCCGATTTGTCATCTTCAACTTGTCATGGACGAAGGCAGTGGTGACCTACAGTGTTGTGATTTGTTATATGCTGTTCTTATGCATCAAAATCATGTTTCATAGTACCTATATTGGTTTCTCCTTCAACTCCGTACTGAATTTGTTTCACATGGTTTATTGTTATGTTAGTGAGAGAGAACACCAGACACTCCACTGTATTTATTATCTGAGACTGAGAGTTACAACCGTCAGGAGATTGTATTGTACGACATTCATGAAAAACAATATAAAATTTGCCTCCATTTTTGGATAAATAATTTATCATTTTAAATGATAACATGTATAAAATTATTATTATTATTCCACGAACAATCATATTCATAATAGAATATACTATTTAATATTTTAACTGTTTTCCTGATGATCCTTGCTTGTGACACGTATATTATTCACTTTTGGTGACGAATGTTGACATTTTCCACTTTCCATTCATGTGAATAATATGGATTTATTCACCATCTCACTGAATGTAATTGCAAAATTTTAAAATTTTACGAAATGACTAAATTGCGATTCACTCTCTACTATAATACGATCTCTTATTACTGAGAAAACATGTCGGTAAATCTAATCACAACGGAAAAATTAAATCTTAAACGATTTTGCACACGATGAAATTTTTGTCTAAAATTAAATTTGTTTCTTCGCGATACCAAAATAATGAGACTTCTAAGAAATTAGAATGAACGACGATAAGTCGTAATTGATTCAAAAAAGATATTAAAGAAATCAAATCGATGCGGCATTAACTTAAATAATAAATGAATTTTGATTATAATATTTATTTTCTTCTAAATAAAATTAAAGACAAAACTCGAAGTAGGTCAGCAGCATGAATGAAAATTATTATTTTGATAAATATTATGATTGCACTGATCTAACAGCCTAAAGAACTGTGCTCAACAGCCATTACAGCTCCTCGTTTGATACAAAATGGTTCTAAAATTAAATCTATCTACTTCTCGGCCTTCAATTATTTTTTTTTAATTGAAACTTATTGAATTAAAACATAAATGATCCAAGAATTGAAACTGAAACTTTAATGATCCATCATGTGTCCTCCTGCTGTAGCGGGCCAGCTTTGGCCGCGCTATTAGTTTTCTTCAGCCGCCGCACCTTTTTAACGGAGACGGAAGAGAAAAAGTATGCGTAGGTAGTTTCCTCGGGAAGCAGCTGATTGCTAGTAAGCAGCCTACCTTTGCATGACCTACCATACTTTGTAATGTCTGTAAATATCAGTATTTAGTGTTTGCATAATGTCTGTACTCGTAAACCTATATGCATTTTGCTTATACTCCTATGTCGTGGCTGCGGGTTCTACATGAGATTTAAATATATCTTGTAGCCTCTGAAGATTCGCTGATCCATTTTGATTCATCCTCGTACGTTATAGGGCCCGCGGGCAGAGACCCAGTAACTTTTCTTGTTTGGAGCGTAGTTGTCCCGCTATAATGCCCGTTCAAATTAAATGGGAACAAATTATGAATTATAGAAAGCCCTTGTTATATCTGTCTAGATATTTATATTAAATACTTAGCAACGAAGCGAAAAGCGTCGCACTGCTTCAAATCTCCAGCACTAATTTTTTGCTTATATACATGTACATTTGGCTACACTAAGGAACCTTTATTCGTCAAAAATTAGCGGAATTGTTAGAAAATTTATGTCCGAATGGTTTGTGTGTGTCTTCGAACCGAATTTATAGAACAATTACCATATTGCCCACAAATAAGGCGCTTAAATCAGAGCGCAGAATGAACGATGGAAGTAATTTGTCTCCCAGGGATGCGAGTCGGTGTTGCTGCTTGAGATGTCAGAGTTAACGGCTGGGTCTACATGGCATGCAGCTGGTCTTGTCACATCTTACCATCCCTACGCCAATGTCAAGCCCCTGCACCAATATAGGCATGTTATCTGGTCTTGTCACATCTTACCATCCCTACGCCAATGTCAAGCCTCTGCACAAATATAGGCATGTTATCTGGTCTTGTCACATCTCACCATCCCTACGCCAATGTCAAGCCCCTGCACCAATATAGGCATGTTATCTGGTCTTGTCACATATTTCCATCCTTACGCCAATGTCAAGCCCCTGCTCCAATATAGGCATGTTTTACTTTATTATTGGTTTATTCTTATTCGATCAAATCAGGATCTCATGCACTCGAATCGAAACTCACAAAATCTTACAAATTTATTTTATGTTATTTTATATCTAACGCAAGATTGAAAGTTATACATTTCAATTTTCAGGACTTAATGTCCGTCCTCAAATTCTATTTGAACAATTCTTTCTTTTTATACGATGAATATTAAATGTACATTAAGTAATGTGTGTACACCTCACTTAATGTGTACACCTTAAGTACAATGGAATTGCAAGAGGAAAAAACATAGCGTGCTTGTCATGGAAGCACAAAAGTCAGACGAAAGTAAATTAATCTGGATGACCTACTGAAAAATTATTCACAATCTCCCTCAACAAAAGCTCTTCCAAGCTCCATCTCACACAGAGCTTCATATCGCGCTCGTTATCCGCAAAGTTTGCACAGAGACGAGCAAACTGCAACTTTTGCGGGGGTTTGTTGAGTTAAATAATTTTAATTCTGCGAAGAATCATCATCACTGAGTTTAAAACTGGGAATTGTGTTGGCGTTACATCATTAATATTATACTCGTCTGCCCTCAGTGTCGATTTGTTCTCTCAGCTGGAAGAAGAATCAGGACAGGCAATTAATTTACATTTGCCTGGCAGCATCCGCATCGCTACAACTGACCTGCGAGCTGAAGAAATGAGGTTAATCCTAGAATCCCTGGAGTTTTTAATATCAAATTATAAATGAAAGTATTTAGTAAGATAAAAGATGGGCATAAAATTTTAATGGCCTACATAAGTACAATTATTTTTTTTAGAATAATTATTTTTCAGCAGGAACAAATAGATCAACGTGAAAGCGATGAACAGAGAAGGAAATAATTGGTTATACGTGGTTCCTACAGGTAATACAGGTTATATAAGGTTATACAGGTTATACAGGTTATACAGGTTATACAGGTTATACAGGTTATAAAAAGGTTATACAGGTTCCTAACAAAGCAGCTGTTCGCTTAAGCCTTAAAGACATAACTTGAGAATGGCTTCTAAATTTAAGATCAAACAGTATTTTTTGTGCAATGTTTTACAATATATCTAATCCCAGGTTAATCATGTAAATTTATTATGGTAATGGTAGGTAATTGAAAGACTATAATTGAAAGAAGATAATTGAACATTACCCGTTACAGGTACCAGGTCTCCAGGAACGCTAACAAAGGCTATCCATTGAGATATCTTACTCCTGAAGAAATCGTACAACGATGTCCTCTGTTAGCTAAAGACAAGGTAATGAGAATAAAGCACTCATGTGCTTTGTGTTGCTTGCTCAAAAGTTCGATTCCGTACGCACAAAAAAAAACATAACATTCATTAATTCAAGAAATATTACCTCGTTCAATTATACATTTGCGTATGAAATGTTTGATTATTTTCAGTTGAAGAATATTAAATCGAAACTTTTCTATATGTGCGGTATAAGAATATTCCAATTTCTCTCATGATAATAATATTAACTATTATAAAGTTTATTTTACTCATTATCCATGCATTTATTCACGCATTAAAATAAGTATGTGATAATATAATTCTGCATTTTGAGATATTCAATAAAATATTTTTGTCGAAGTCAAGGCAATTCTTGTAATAGAGCGTTAAAATCAAGTATGTAAATCACAACGGAATGAATTCCTTCACGTATGATCCACTTGTGTAGTCTGACACCGAGACTTTCATAGAGTTCATCATCATTCATTTATTTGCATCGCTTCTACAATATCTCAAAGGATTCAAGGTGCAACATTTGTCATGTTCCTGAACTCTGACTCGTTGCGCCACGCTTTAGTTTGGTGTAACATTTTGTAATAGCTTTCGCGGCATGAGTTATGAGGTCAGGTGCGATGAAGCGGACACTATAAATCTTTGTGTTCCGTCCCCCCGTTAGGTCTACTGACATCTAGACAAATTTATTGAAAGGAGTTTGAAGTTGTACGAGATTTTCTTTATCGGGAACAAGTTAATTGAATTATTTTGCACGTTTTCTATCCAATAAGGATTTTATTTTTTGAAAGAAATATTCGACTTGTTATTTTCTCGTGTCTCCTCAGAAATTTAGTTTCTCTATGAAAAATTAAGATAAGAGATTTTAGTTGAGTATGAAACTTTTGCATTCAATTGGAATGGAATGGAAATTAAACTTTTTAATTCTGCTTATTTGCATAATGGATTATTTTGAAAAAGCACATCTTGAAGAATGATAATGATTAGGCACGCATGCGTGACACTGAACACTTTTACCTTTGCCACTCGCCAAGCTACTCGAGACGCGACTTGGTAAAAACTGTTCAACTGACAAATTAAAAAATATATATGATGTTGCCTGTATTGTAAATTGCTGTTCGGGAAATCGGTTCTGAATTCATCACATCTACGTCCGATCATCTTGTTTATTGCAAAAAACATGTTTATTAACCATCTCTACACTAACCATGACATTCATTTATTTAATGTTTGCTGGACATCTAGAGACCAGTAGGCAAGTGTAGGAAGAATTAACCAGGTGTAGTAGAGTCGCGATTTGATTGGAAAAAATAGAAATCTTGTTTTGTTTCTCACCGAAATCATTTGCTGCTGTACTTTCATCAGTTATTGAAAGTACATTCTTTAAAAGTTCAACACTTTTTATGATAAACCATATTATATCGCCTTTCAGAGAGGTTGAACCAAGATATTCCTAGAGAAACGTAACTAATGATTTAATTTGGTTATACGAATATGACGGTTTACCATTCATGCATTTTTCTTCAGATCAAAGCAGGCTTGCAGACGTTTGATGGCCACGTCGACCCATACTCACTTACTCAAGCCTATGCCAAAGCTGCGAGAAAGTGAGTTATCTTTCAAGGGCCATACCTTCAAAACTCGCTAAGTGAACGTAAGTACTTACGCTGTATTTTCTTGTCTATGATTGGTGGATTTTGCTTGAAAGGCCGTCAATGATTGGCTGATGAACTTACGATCTCTCAACTTTTTTTGAAAGTATAAGCCCGGATGTCAAATGAATTTTCAATTAATTTCATAGAATTTACATAAATACAAATCATATAATAATGGAAGAAACACGTAAGCCCCATAAATTTGACAAGCTTTCAAGTCAATTATTTTTGAGCCGCAAAACCTAAATAATTTTGAAGAGCTAACATTAAATTCGACAACATAATCCTTCAAAACCATAAAATAATTAAACAAGTGCGATGGAAATACGGGGCTTTCTGAAACGAGCTAAAAATATTGTACGTAATAATATTAATAATAATGTAATATTGTAAAAAATAATAATAATAATGTAATATTGTAAAAAAACGAGCTAAATATTGTTCGTATTAGCATAAATATTAGGATGTTGCATGCAAAAAATGTAACTGTTATTGTGAGGCGAACAATTGTACTTTTCTCAATTATAAGATGATCCGGAAATTTATATCCTGGGAATATTGGCAAGGTACGGAGCTAACATACGACAAGGCGTTCGGGTACAAGACCTGAGCAGGAGTGGGGGCGGAGGCTGGCGAGTGGAGACCAATAAAGGAACAGTCACAGCCTCCCACATCGTCAACGCGGCTGGTAAGAGAAAATACAGGTTAACAATAAACTGATTTACAGGGCCAGATTATTCATAACCTGATTAACAGTGCCAGGTTAATCGTAAATGCCAATCGATGCGTTTTCATTCCAAAGTTGCGAATATTTTTGTAAAGGGAAAAATTGGTTTGATAAGGCGATGCGGATCGAGATTACTGTAGCATTTGACATGACAGCGAAAAGAAAGGAGTATCTTGAATTTAATGTGACTATTTTAGCGCATTTTCTCATTGATGGAAAAAGGCGCTATTGTGCTCCTCCTGTCCGTCTGTCCGTCCGTCTGTTCGTCCGTCTGTCCGTGACTTCACGTTTTCGTCGAGGAGAAAATACGCTCTCTGTCACTTACTGCAGTGAGTACTGAGTTATATTTTTTCATCTTACCAATATTTAGTTGACATTTGGTAGAATATAAGTTAGATTGACACATTTACATTGAAGTCTCCTTCATTGGGCTCGTTTTGTTAAATTAAATCTTGAATGGGATAGACTTTCATTCACCATAGGGACTAATGTGAACCTAGGGACTAATGTGAACCATGTTTAATTTCTAGTGTTTGGATGTTAGCAGCAATTTCGACTCCGGGGTCGAAATGTGGTCCGCTTATTGATTCGGTTACCTACCTCCTAGGCTCAAGGGTATCCTGGCTTTTAATTATCTAAAACTACTTGCGTGAGCTTTCTAAAAGTGTATTACCTGAGTAAATGTGACTGTTAGATTCAAATGGCAGCAAATCGATTAGACTTCTCAACGGGTGACTCTCTTCCCAGGTGATCCGAAATTAATCTATTCAACAAAATTATTCATTAAGATCCTTTTTTTTCTCGAACTATGAGTAAAATTTTCACGGGAAAAACTTCCTAAATCTATCTTCTCGACTCGAATAGTCATTGCGCAAAAAAGTCTCTGAGCGTCTGTTTTTTTCCGGGTTAAAGTCTTCATTGAGTGAGCTCAGACATATAGAGGAAGGAATCCAACTGTTCTTCTCAATAGCCGTCAAAAACCTCGTCGCGTGACCATAAATCAGAAAGAAGACCGAGGCTCGTCTCAATTTCTTTGTCACAGTCTCATTGAAGCAATCGCTCGTCGCTTCGATTGTTGACTTTTTCTGTCATATTGGGAATTGAAATGTAAAATGCTTTTGTCTCTATAGAACAAGTCGAATATGGCTTATTGAGTTTTTAATAGCATTCTAATGGTAAATTCAATTAATTACCGATTGTTTCAATATTGTATTTACTATTTAAGATAAAATCTCAAGGAGTGAAAGTGAACTGTTCATGCCGGTAACTTGACCATATGAATATTTTAAATCTCATTCGAATCGTTAGATCGTTGTTAAAATTTATAAAAATTTACAATACTAAATGCGAATTAAATGTAAAAAAACTATTCTGAATCGAACAGTGAGCAGTACTTTTCCCACTAGTAACATGTTTTCGCAGTTACTTAAATCTTAGTTTCGTAAACCGTAGACTTTTTTCGAAGAGTCGGTTTCACTACAGTTTGATTGACGATAAAAAATGTTGTTATTGCATTTCAAAGTTACTTCTTGGGATGATTTATATTGCATTTACAGTGCCATAAAATTTTCTTGGGAAGCTTTTTCACCATTTAACTACTTCAGACAACATCCGTTGCGTTATTCGAATAAAAAGCTACTAATTAAAAAGCTACTCTAGACCAATGATTTTCTTTAATGAATAAACAGTTGAAAGTATATATAATTAACTATGAATAAATAGAAGCAAAACCACAAACCTAAGTTCAATTCCAAATGTCGAGGCCTTACAGAAATAGAAGTAAAATAACACTTGTAATACATAACTTTAGAATATGAATATATAATAAACAAATTAACACGCACAAATAATCAATGACACGAAACGATTCAATTTAAAATTTAACAATCACAAATATAATCACAGAGCTATCGATTAACGTACCTCCACGGTAAGAACACAAGACGCAATGATAAATAAAACATAATACTGCTGGAGGTCACGGCTAAAGTGATTGAAAACTAAAATAAAAAACCCTAAGCCTAATACATTGCAACTTGAAAAGTATATATACAGCAATAATTCTATTTCTTCTACAATATTAGCATCAGGATATAAATATGGTAGTATACATGCAGAGACGCCATAAAAATAAGCCGGAGTCACATTCCGGGTCGTTCCATCACTGGGTGAGAGGATCCGGGCTTTAACGCCCATATTATCCTTCAGTGTCGGTGTCAAGCCATTGAACAAGTCCTGATACAAATACAGCATAAGAATCAATTTTCCTTTCGAAATTAGTTTCACGTTTGAGGTAGAGCAAATATTATTAAAGTGAACAGAAACATGAGTGGCCACAAGAATCATTCAAGTGCTTCTAGAAAAATATTATTTCCTTGTGGTTACCTGAACAGAGGAAATTTTTTATAGTTTTTAAATTATTTGCCATTTAAAAAAATATGTCCGAATGTAGCTTTTCCTTCTAGGCGCATAGATTATAATCTTATTTTCATGCATCTATATTATTTTATAAGCATTTCTAAGCGGTAAGTTCTCTTCCATAATAACTTACAATGTAGTTTCATTCTCTGCTCCATTTTAAACAACCTCAGCCGTTATTATCAGGAAATAAAAAGTGATTTCTGTTTCCATTTTAAGGCTTTCATGCAAAAGAGGTCGGAGCGCTCACGGGTCATTATCTGCCGCTGCTCGCTGTCGAACATCAATACATCGTCACTTCGTCGGTGCCTGAATTGCAGAAACTTAAAAAAGAAATGCCAGTTCTTCGGCACTTGGAAGCTTCAGCGTATATACGCATGGAGCGCGGCGGGCTTCTCGTGGGCGCCTACGAGAAACCAGAGGAGATGAAGCTACATGAACAATGGCTTAAGAACGGCGTCCCGAATGGTGAGTGTCGCCAATAAATTCTATTGTTCAAGAGTAGAAATAGTATTGAGTTGTCCATTTACTTGAGAATCCAGTGCAAACGCCTTGGGAAGTGAGTCTCGCCAAGAATTTCTATTGTCTGGAAGGAAATACAGGTTTCAATACGTATTAAGATACGAAAAACTTTGCGTAGCTGAGTATTGCCAATAATTACTGTCGTTCCATTATAGATCATAGAGCTGCCAATTCGCTTGAATATTGAAAGAAAACTTCGGGCAAGGTCATTAATTATAGCCTAGAATTGATATTATTCGATCGTAGAAACGGGATATGTTATTTCATAAGGATATTCTGAGAACGAAATTATTGACTTCCAGCGGATAAATATTTACTAAGGATATTCTCTATTATTCACTTCCAGCGGACTAATAATTTGTTCCACATAAGTTAATAGTTAATAACATAATATAAAATCTCCAGAATAATGACGTTGGTCTGTACGTTCATTATCGCATTGAAAAATATTGAAGCTAAAAAATAAAAGGTGAAATGATCAAATTATTTTCATTTTCACTCTACTTATCAAATCTTAAACGGTAGAAATTATGAAACAAAAATTATGTATTATAATGGAAACCTATTAACAAGTTTTTATGCTTCCCTAATACTGAATGAGATCAATTTATTTTAATCGAACATTTATACCTGCAGATTTTTCGAAGCAACTGTTCGAGCCTGACCTCGACAGGAGCGAGCCCTACTTGGCCCAAGTAATGGAGCTCTTGCCCTGTTTTAAGACGGCACAAATTCAGAGTATTGTTAATGGACCGATCACTTATACGCCCGATGGTCTGCCGATGGTTGGTCCGCTAACCGAACCTGGACTATGGGTTGCTGTTGGATTTGGGTGAGGAAATAGATAATAGAGATACAATTTCAGCAAATTATGCGAGAACGATGAGTGTTTTGATTGAAAAGTGGGATAATTATGATGAAAATGTATATAAATGTTGATATCGCCTTGCCAAGTGTCGATTTACTGAAAATACATGTAGGTGTAACATTTCTAAGGAGATGAACCTAAAATGAAAAGTTTTGTGTTACCTGGATAAATTCATCCATATAACCAAACTTACAATGAATTGGCTGAATTAAAACAGAATTCTGATCGTGATATCAGTCAAATATGTGTTAACGGAAACTTATCGTCAATAGACCAGTACAAGCATTTGCCAAATTACAGAAAATTTAAATTGACCTGGAAACAGACGGAGACTGACTTCAAAGTCTCCACGTCATTTAAATGTGATCCTCAAGAAAAAATACTAACAATGAGTCAGTCCAGTTCATTAGAGGAGCGACTGAAGAAGTTTTATGCAAAGGAAACTCCGGCATCATTAGTATTGCTTCATTTACTGCAGGAGAAAGGATAATATTCAGTTAATTGGCAACCTTCCTATTCACAATTTTGGCGACGATTTCAGAAGTCGAAATCTTAGTTGGAGTTAAGCTCGTTTGCTGTACATAAGAAACATTTTTGCCTAAAAGGTACTGATATAAAAAGCTGCTAATGATACTAGGTATCATTTGCATAAAGTTTCACTTGCAGTCCAAGTTTTTGAAGAAATTTTTATTTATATGTAAGTTTTAACTCGAAATATTATAAAATATATCAATGTTACAAAAAATTTAATGAGGTAACCGTGATGATTGATATCGTTTAGGCCTTTACACTTCTAAGATTACATTTTTTCAACGAGTTTGCCTAAGAAAACTTCGTATAATTTATTTGTATTCTTAATGATAAGAGTAATACTTTTAGCTAGTTTTACAATCCATTGAATGATTAAAAAATAATGTTATTTTCTCAAGAAGCGCTAAAAATACCTTATCTTTACCTTTTTCTCTTTCCTTGTATCAGCTGACTGTATTAAAAAGCGAAAAAGTGATATTATATGAACTTCAGTTAATATCAATACGGAAACATGTCTTTTTCAGGAGTTCATATGTCACTCGAACAAGAAATGTTCTTCCATCAATTCTGTATTATATTTAATTTAATATCTAATATTCAGTATTATTTAATATATTTAAATGCTACATTTCACGCTGAATAGCCATTGGTTTAGTTAAGATAAGCGTCATTTTCATGAACCTCCTTTCAATTCAAGCGTTCGTCCGCATTATGCTCACGCTTTGTTTTCCTCCACTCATGATTAACAAATTTAAGCACACAAAGAATTTTTTCTGTTTGGTGAGTAGTAGTTTGCCTGGGAATTATGCCGTATTTACTCTTCGATGAGCAGGTATGGCATTATTCACTCGGGCGGCGCCGGTAAATATTTAGCCGACTATATCATGTCTGGCGAACCTCAAGCCGAACTCACGGAATTTGACCCCGGGCGCTTCAAACGATCGTGGGTGACGGACGCTTACGTCGTGGATAAAATCCGCGAGTCTTACGGCATGCAGAACCATCCTGTTTATCCACACGACGAGCGGTTTGCTGGCGAGTTATTATTATATCCTTCTTATTCTTATTTATACCCATTATATAAATGGTGGTTATTATAGTCTTCTTAAATCACCAGTTCACAGCGAATTTTAAAGCAAATAAAACGCTAAGTAAATTCATTATATCGTCAACGTATTACTTATATATGTTTGATTAAAGTGCATTAAATATTTCGCTCAGGCTAAACATCAAGCTCATCCTAATATATATTATTTTAGCTAGAAATTAGATATGAGCTTTTCAAACAAATGGTCGATAATCTATTGAAGGTTTTGAACGATATATACGATAATCATTTACATGAGCATCACTGGCAATCATTATTACGGAAAACATATTAGAAGCGTTCTTCTGAACAATATGAAACCGATTATTTTGCGACCGGGATGTGGCAAGGGTTAATTTTAAAAATTTTGACCCTGCGAATGGCCTCAGGACGGCCGACCCAGCGCGTGTCAACCGCCATGAGTCATCAGACGGAGCGAGGAGCGCATTTTAGCGTGCACGCTGGCTGGGAGCAACCATCATGGTTCGCACGAGGAGATGATCAACCAGAGTACAAACCTGCGTATCATAGGTCAGTTGAATAGTTAATAAATTTCCCACGTATAGGTGTGCACAACATTAAATTTTACGCCTCAATCTTTTCATGCTGCGTGAAATATACGGCGTTTTCTTCAAAGATAATTCAATATTTTATCTATAAGAGGCAATATCGGGAGTTTCGAAGGCCATCAATGCGACCCACACAGGAGAATAGCCTTGCCATAGCAATCAAAACTGATGCTCAATATACATCGCTAAAAATAGGCCATCGCTTTCTGTAAGCTGTCTCGGGAACGATATTCCTTCAATCCTCGCCGCAAATGAGGATGTTTCTCGAGCATCCTTTAGAGCTCGGCATCAGTCCAGGGAGGATCAGTTCAGGATTTTGAACGTACATCAGAGCGCTTATGGATTTGGAAGCTGTGCTGTAAATCGTAAGGGGTTGGCGCTTGCGATCAGCACTATAACAATTCAAAGGAATAGAATCTATTTGGGATACGGGCGAGTTATCACAGAAATAAGCTATTGCATGGGATATCAGCGCAGAAGAATTTGTTTGGTGGGATTCCTAGTAGTGAAATGTTGCTGTCGTTTTGACGTTTTTTCTTGTTTTCATCGAAAAATATTTTGACAATCAGTGATACAACTTTAACGATTGTATATAATACTACAATAGATATCATGATGATTTTCTCTATCGTTTAACCCAATGGTTATATGTTTCATGGTCCTAACATTTTTTGTCCGCGTGGTAGGTACATATATATATATGTAGTAGAAGTTGTTCACTCATTTTCGAAAAAAACGTGAAATTCCACATTTCGGACGTTTGTTTTTCACAGGCTCAGCTTAATTGTACCTAACTAGCATGAAGCTTTTCACAAATTTTCAGAACAAATTGGCATGACTCCGTCATGCGTGAACACCAACTTGTGACCAAGGCCGTTGGGCTCATCGATCTAACGCCGTTCGGTAAATTCATAATAAAAGGACCGGACGCAGCACCATTTTTGAACATGGTCACAGCGAACACGTAAGATAACTTGGTGAATGGTAAATATCAGCAAAATATAAAATCAAGAATTTTCACACATAAAATATAAATTAAAAATTGATAAGGCAAATATTACTTAGAAAAGTTAATTCGATGTTTACAACTTTTTTCTGTATAAATGCCCATGAAAGTAAGCGAGTGATTTTCGTTCAGTGAAATCATAAACTTTTCATGAATCGCATGTTATCCGAATTGAAAATATTTACGTAGAGAGAAGTTCTTCTCCTAATTATTGCTATGGATTGATGTAAAGTTTCACCGATACAAATATTTTCTTCCTATTCGTTTGAATTCAATTGAGAAGTATTTTCTCCTGAATAAGACATGTGAAATAAAAAAAATCGATAGATAGATTTGCACTGGTTTCCCGTCATAGTATACGCAGAAATCGCTTTCATATTTATTAGTACTACTCTGCACGTTAAAGAACATTGAAGAGTATAGAAGTGCATTTTTTCGATTTGATGCCTCCTAGAAGTAATTAGATACGTTTTACCAGGAAGACAGCAAGCTTCAGCAGATTCTTGGAAAACAAAATGTTTTCATTCTTCAAAGTTTTAGAACCAACAGGTCTGGTTTCTCAAAGTAAATAAAAATACTCGCGAATTTCTTCTGTTCTTCCTATCAATTGGTCTATCTGCAGGACAAACCTAAAATATCTCAGATGTTTACCAATATAAACTGCCCATTTTATTTTAGCGTACGAACTTCTACGAAGAAAAATTTTATTTTGGTGTACGAACTTCCCAGAAAAGGTATTTCTCACCTAAGGGATCGTAGCAGAAAATTCGCTCGATTCAATCAAATAATTTCACAACGAAGGATTTTATGAAATTTCTCAGCGAATCTTTGACTCTGAAAGCATAGATTTCCTAGAGCTCTTACCCAGCCACCTAAAGGCTCGTAGCACACAACTCACTCAATTCAATCATATCATTTCTACACTAAACTCTTACCCAGCCACCTAAAGGATCGTAGCACACAACTCACTCAATTCAATCATATCATTTCTACACTAAACTCTTACCCAGCCACCTAAAGGATCGTCGCACACAACTCACTCAATTCAATCATATCATTTCTACACTAAACTCTTTATAAAAAAAGGATCGTAGCACACAACTCACTCAATTCAATCATATCATTTCAACACAAGAAATTTTTATTAGATTGCCGTTTTTTCCCCGGATACCACAGACTTCCCAGAGAAGGCCGCTGCGTTGTGACTCACGCGCTCACCGCCAGAGGGACGATATACGCAGAGTTGACCGTCACGTGTACTGCTCCTGAGACGTACTTGGTGGTGACAGGTTCTGGCTCCGAGATTCATGATCTCAGGTGAGGGTGATGCAGAGGTGGATATTTATAACAAAAATATAACTCAGTACTCACTGCAGTGAGTGACAGAGAGCGCATTTTCTCGTCGACGAAAACGTGAAGTCACGGACCGAGAGACGGACGGACATGACGAGCACAATAGGGTATTTTTTCCATAATTGAGAAAATGCGCTAATAATACTTATGGAATAATATACTTATAGTATACCTATGGAATATAATGATATGTATAATTTTATGTATGGAACATTGTAGATATATTAAATTACTCAGTCACTGCATTTACTGTTAAGTAATTCGCTTAGCTCGCCAATTTCCAAGTGTCGAATTAATACAGAAAAATGGATTTACAATGAGATTTAAATGTTGCATGAAGATTGAACATGAGAAATATAATATATTTCAACCTATTTCAGTTGAACCCTTGATGTTAAAGATTACTTTTTTTACTTACATATTAATTAATTTTTTTCAAAATATTTAATGTTAAAGTTTAATGTCTTTCAAAACCATTACGATGAACATTTGGCTAAATAGTAAATTCAATAAATAATGAACATTCATAGTTAATTGAGATTAATTTCCGACAATTAATCTAATAACAATTAATCTAATAATTAATCACAAGATTTTCCGACAACCCAAGGAATCTATTCAACTCTATTATAGCTAAAACTTTAAAAGGGATTTGCAGGCGAATTTCGAAGCAAAAACATAAATCCTTGAGTCAATAACCCCAGCTCGAAATGCATTTCAGATTTGCATTAGTTAATCATGGCGTATTGATATTTCTGTTTGAAATAAACATGAGACTGTGTCACGAAAGGACAAAACAAGCTGTCGCCCTGATTCAGTTGAAAATGATCATGTCTATATTTTGGTATGTTCAAAATTATATCTCAAAACTTCAATATGGCGTCGTGAAAATAAAAATTTCATGATGTAAGTATTGTCATTCCTGAATAAGGTGATTAACAGTTGAATGCCCTAAAGGAACTTCCATCTCTAAAAAACTGTAGTTATAAGTTTATTTTACCAGCTGCGCTGTGATGGTAAAAATTGCATGTTGAGTCGTTTTTGGATAAGGAAACTAACCGATATGTGCCCCGAACTAAGTAGAATCTTCATCAAATTCGAGAATTCATATATAGAAGTGGGCAGTGAAGATAAAAATTTAGAGTATATACGTTTAGTCGGTTCTGAATAAGATGATTGAACGATGACAGACATAAATTAAATTATATCTCCATCAAGAAAATTCGTGACGTAAACTAAAAAATTTTTTAATTATACAACTGAGCAGTGATTGTAAAAATTTCATGTATGTAGGTTCAGTCGTTTCTAAAAAGTATCTTGATTCAGTCGCTCCTGAGTTAGGTGATTTACTGATAACTGCGTAAAATAAAGTTTAGTCTACACAAACTCAAGAAATATGTTAATTTGATTTTATTCAATGTAATTTTCAGGTATGCAGGTTTGGTCGTTTCTGAATTAGGCAACTAACCGGTAACTGTCCCAAATGAGCTCGAATCTTTATATAATTCAATAACTTTTGTAATTTTCTAACGGCGCAGTGACAGTGACAGTGATAGTCTCAGGTGCGCGATATTTAGTCGTGTCTGAATTGGTATATATGCCTGAACTGCTGCAAATGAACTTGTATCCCTCGTAAATAAACCCAATAAATTAGTTAATTACAAACGTGCTCGGTTACTTTAACATCAATATTTGTTTGTTTAGTCGCTTCTGAATAAGGTAATTAACAGATAGCTGCAGTGACTGAAAGAGGATCGCAGCCAAACTCGAGAAATGTCCTAATTTAACAACTGCTCAGTGACTGCAAAACTCAGGTACGTGGGTTCAGCTATTTTTAAATTAGGGAGCCAACCGATAACTTCCCCAAATAATGATGGATCTCCCCCCAAACTCTATAAAAATTGCAATTTTACTTTAGCGCTGTGAATGTAATACTTTCATGCAGGTATGTGGGTTTAGTAGTTTCCGCTAAAGGGTTCTTAAATATCACCCACCGAAAATTTTCTTGGCCCTAAAATAAACATTTCATTTATATAACTGGTTCCCCAGATGGCCGAAGGAAAAGGCTCTCCAATAACGAGCTAGTAGGTTTTATTTTTGTATAATTATGTATGTTGTATGAAGCTGTGTCCTCAGATGGCTGAGGGACAAGGCCCTCAAAAAAACGAGCAGGTATAGGTGTTATATTCGTATAATTATGTATGTTGAATGAAGCCGTGTCCTCAGATGGCTGAGGGACAAGGCCCTCAAATAATGCGCCAGTAGGTGTTATTTTTGTATAATTATGTATGTTGAATGAAGCCGTGTCCTCAGATGGCTGAGGGAAAATGCCCTTAAATAACGAGCCAGTAGGTGTTATTTTTGTATAATTATGTATGTTGTATGAAGCCGTGTCCTCAGATGGCCGAGGGAAAAGGTTCTCAAATAACGAGCCAGTAGGTGTTATTTATGTATATTTATGTATGTTGAGTGAATCCGTGTCCTCAGATGGCCGAGGGAAAAGGCTCTCAACTAACGAGCCAGTAGGTGTTATTTTAGTATAATTATGTATGTTAAATGAAGCCATGTCCTCAGATGGCCGAGGGAAAATGCCCTCAAATAACGAGCCAGTAGGTGTTATTTTTGTATAATTATGTATGTTGTATGAAGCCGTGTCCTCAGATGGCTGAGGGACAAGGCCCTCAAATGGGGCCATCGTAACGTGAGCTTCAGCAACGTCACTGAAGACTTAGGATGCCTCAGCGTTGCTGGGCCAAAAGCCAAACAAGTTCTTCTTGCGGCGTCCAAAGATTTTCCAGAGCAATTTCCTTTCTTTGGTTTCCGCACGGTATGTCATGTTGATTTTTGGAACAATAAAGACGATGTATTTCCTGTTTGTTGCATATTTGTTTTTAAAATATGATAGAGTTCAAGCCAATGGACATCAAGCTTTCAATGATCGTCTTTGAGCGTTAAATGAGAGCATCATCTTGACTATCGATTTATTGTTTCCTTTTTGTTGAGCTATTTAGTATGATGAATTTATGTTATGTTATTATACATCATTTAGTTATTATAAATTTTAAGAGTCTGCTTATATTTACCGTCATTTTCAGTGAGGCTATGAAAGGTGCAAATTCATCGTCCTTAAATATGAACCGTGAATACCTTTTCCTCGCCAAATATCTTTTCTATCCCAAAAATGACATAAATCATAGATTGAATTTCTTATTCTTTTGCTCGAAAATTCATCCTATTTCTATAGTTCATTTTGGTACACACAAACAATTCATTTACATGTTAATTAGATGGAAAACGTCAAAATACTCTTTTTCAAACCCAGGGTGATTCATATTTCATTAATTTTTGGTAACTCTCCACCTACTTAGCTTTGGAGTTTTTCACAGAAGCTTGGGCTTCAAATGGTAGCTGATACAAGTGTAAAAAGTTAAGAGCGATTCAACTATTTAAGTTATTTTTGACCTGTTGACATGTTATTGTCATAACCTGCGCATTGTCATTGCATTTTTGGTATTAAATTTAATTTTAGGCCCAATATAGGAATTTGGACCATATGAATTGTTTCTGGGTACATTTCATTTGCCGATGGTTCAAAGAATTTTGAATTTTTTTCTCATTATCTAAATCACCCATTATCAAAATCACGTAACAAATTATATAACCTTTACTGTGCACGAAAATATTCAAGGAAAAGTTTCACAATTCCTTAGTTTCTGCTAAAGTCTCGGGATATTTGCCCGTTGTAATTATAACTTGCGGAACATTTGCCACAAAGTTGGCACTGAGGCGCGAGGAGCCCTTGTTTATGCCTCCGGGGGCAGACAATCGCAGAAAGAAAGAACTTCTCTCATTTGCGGATGAATATTGCGCCAGCAATTTGGTTTTATCGTCAGAAACTCTTCAAAGGAGCCGACGATCACCTTGCACGTCTGGCCTTGATCTTTGCTCGGCATCGCTCTGATAAATTAATGTGGGCGGTAGCTGAAAGTTGAGCGCTTCGGTGCCTAAAGTCATGCATGTGATGCTAGCAAATCAAACGAATTTGCTACTTCTCCCACGATACAAAGTTCTGCTTTGATATGAATTATTGGCTTGAATGAACTCAAAATTATTTTATTGTAGAACAAAATTTGACTAAGAAATGAGAAAAAAGCCCATACTTTTAAGAACTTGTCGTTATAGAAGTGTGTGAAATTGTTTCCTACATGGATAGAATAGAAGCATTTAAAACTGGCTTAAGCAATTACTCAAGTTCATCTTATGAGAACATTTATAATGAAATAAAATTTAATTTCTAAATTATTTCATGATGTACAACATTATTCAACGGTATGAGAATATTTAAATCCATCCGTTACTCCTACATATTCCAATCATTTTGAAGTCAATTCGTCTCACAGGTCTCTGTAGGAGACGTCACAGTGAACGCCATCAAGCTCTCGTACAGCGGAGAAGAGGGTTGGGAACTCTACCATCACAGACAGCATACGGGCAAACTTTATGACATGCTTCTCGGAAGCGGGGAAAGCTTCGGTGGGTGCAACTAGGGGGATTATAAATTCATTTTAGACGCTTATACGAGCAATTATGTTCTTTAAAAGTGTTGCATTTTTAGCGCATTTTCTCATCTATGGAAAAAATGCCCTATTGTGCTCGTCATGTCCGTCTGTCCGTCCGTCTGTCCGTGACTTCACGTTTTCGTCGATTTTGAGAAAATGCGCTCTCTGTCACTCACTGCAGTAAGTGCTGAGTTATATTTTTCCTAAATTTCACAGGTATTTATTCAGTATCGTAGCATTTACAAGCAGAAATATTTATAATACGAACGATTTTATAGATGTCAAAGTCATATTTATCATCGTAATGTAATGCTTCGTGTTTAAAACGTCATTTTTAGCGCATTTTCTCATTTATGGAAAAAATGCACCATTGTTTACGATAACTCTAGGAATCAGCGTGGAGAAGCTGGTACAAGGTAAAATTTATATTCATCTTTTGATTTATTCAAATTAATATAGTCTGATAATTAAGTAATTTATGTTTGAGAAACATTCTTTTTTCTAAAAAATTTTGAAAAATTTTACTTCAACAATTTTTTATTTAGGAATTGATGACTTCGGCACATTCACGTTGAACACTCTGCGGCTCGAGAAGGGCTTCAGGTCGTGGGGAGCTGAGATGAACGTGGATACGACGATGGTTATGTCTGGCATGACTTCATTTATTGATTTAAAGAAGGTAACTACTTGATTTCTTCATTTATTCAAGTAGATCGACCGAAAAAAATAATTATGTTCTCTCAGGCATTTAATAATCAACCTTCTAAACTATAATTTTAGCAGTACTCCATTAGGATAAAGTACTGAATACAGAATTTTCATTATAACTGTAAATAAAATCTTGTTGAGTGATAAATTCATTATCAGCAAGATGCGTCAAATCAATTTCAGAAAGTAGTAAATACGTTACTATAGAATTATGAGAGTGATCTTAATTCAGAAATTTATTCCTAGAAGCACTCAAAATTGGAAATAAAGCTAGATCTACCAACTTGAACCTGTTTTATCGATTTACACTAATCGTATTCGGACCAAATATGTCTTTAATATTTTATTGGTTCGCACTATAAAGTTAAATAATGAATAAAATGTGGAAAAAACTATTAAAGTTACTAATAATGTACCTGAACCTCTTCATATATATATAAACTCTCATTAAATATATCATTTTCAGTTATGTTGCATCCAAGAATGATCATGAAAATACAGCCCTTTACTAGGGAAATAAATATACTTAATTTTTAGCGCATTTTCTCATTTATGGAAAAAAATGCACTATTGTGCTCGCCATGTCCGTCCGTCCGTCTGTCCGTCCGTCTGTCCGTGACCTCAAGTTTTCGTCGACGAGAAAATGCGCTCTCTGTCACTCACTGCTGTGAGTACTGAGTTATATTTTTTTTGTGGTTTATAGGGAGATTTCCACGGGCGTGATGCGGTCCTGGAGCATCTCAGGCACATGCCACAGAAGCGTCTTGTGCAAGTGGCCTTCCAGTCACCCCATCTTGACCCTGTGGTGAGCAGATGTGTATACATATTCGATTTTGCTTTCAAAGTGATAATTAAATCATAGTTAATATTAATGATAAACAATTTTAATTGGATTAGCTTAGTTATTAGCTTAGTTAATGAGTTATTTGCTTATAATTTATTATATTCGAATTTGTTTTTGAAGTGATAACTAAATCATAGTTAATATTAATTATAAACAATAACAATTGAATTTATTTAATGAGTATTTGCTTATATTTATTAGAATGTTAAACTATAATTTATAACATTCGAATTTGCTTTCAAACTGATAATTAAATCAGAGTTAATATTATTGATAAACAATAACAATTGAATTTATTTAATGAGTATTTGCTTATATTTATTAGAATGTTAAACTATAATTTATAACATTCGAATTTGCTTTCAAATTGATAACTAAATCACAGTTAATATTAATTATAAAAATAACAATTGGATTTATTTAATGAGTATTTGCTTATATTTATTAGAATGTTAAACTATAATTTATTATATTCGAATTTGCTTTCAAATTGATAACTAAATCATAGTTAATATTAATTATAAACAATAACAATTGAATTTATTTAATGAGTATTTGCTTATATTTATTAGAATGTTAAATTATAATTTATTATATTCGAATTTGCTTTTAAAGTGATAACTAAATCATAGTTAATATTATTGATAAACAATTATAATTGAATTTATTTAATGAGTATTTCCTTATATTTATTAGAATGTTAAACTATAATTTATTATACTCGAATTTGTTTTTGAAGTGATAACTAAATCATAGTTTATTTTAATGATAACCAATAACAATTGAATTTATTTAATAAGTATTTGCTTATATTTATCAGAATGTTAAACTATAATTTATTATATTCGAATTTGCTTTTGAAGTGATAACTAAATCATAGTTTATATTAATTATAAGCAATAACAATTGAATTTATTTAATGAGTATTTGCTTATATTTATTAGAATATTAAACTATAATTTATAATGTAGTTGATTTTAATTATGTATAGATCAAATTATGCTTGGTTGTCATACACTAATCTAAAATTTAATTAGAATTTAAATACAGGTTATTATAAATGCGCATAGCATGTTTGAAGAAGATATCAGCTCATTTTAATTTATGTAAGAATGAAAATGAAGAATTATATATGTATGAATGATAGTCAATAATAATTCATTTAGAGAGGGTTACCGCAGTCGTTTAATTCACTGACAGCCATTGATTTCTAACATATCTCACTTTCGTAATTTTCATGGAGAATCTTTGCTAATAATAAAGAAACGCACTTTATGGATCACTTTTTGTTGCGCTTCAATATGCTCATGTCTCCATCTCATAAAGTGGCAAGATTCGTTTGCAAGTAAAATTCCCATTCCGATATATCCTAATAGAATTCTTAATAAATCCATGAAATCCTGTATGGAATAATTCGTGAGGTAAAATTTTCCAGTAAAAATCTAAAATTCCATCTCGGTTTGCCAATTACGTCTCTGGCCAGTAATATTTTACTGGCCAGTTCATGATTCATTCTCAGCAACGGGTAACTCAATTAAATTGCCTCAGATGAGAAAAGTTCGTTATTTTCCCATTAGTTTGTAGGATGCACGTGGAATGCTTCACCACTCGAGGAAATCTCAACATTTTGCAAAGGTCTTCTTTCAATATGGCAGTTCACAATCAATGGAATCCTACAGTTAACAATCATGAATGAGATCGAAGAGTTTTGTACTTATTTGGAATTAATTCTGAATGAAAACTTCATCTCAATTAGATCTGTCTAAGCAAATTAATCATTTATCCTCATTTTAGCACTAAATTCAACAGTTGTATAACAATAAAGTCCGTTGTGAGTTTAAAAATTATTGGCATAGAATTCAACATTATTCATAACCCTATTATTTATTGTTTATTTATTTCCATTTGCATATCAAAAGATTAAATATTGATCGTATTAACGTTTGATCATCAGCAATCAAGCATTGTCACAAATGTATAAATAAAGCAGCGTATTGAATTCGTAATTAATTGAGAGTGAAGTCAGTCCTAAAATAATCAACAGTATCTCATTGTTCCCGCGATTCTGATTTTATTAGGCAATAGAAGAGTTAATTATGAGGCGTGGACAATGCAGCACATGATATTCATCACCAGACTCACCTGCATTTATAATACGAATATTTCATCCTTAAATTCAGAGAATAATCGTTTACTGTTTGTCGGCTCCTCATGATGAATCTGGGTTGAATTCAGCGAATAATCGTCAGCTATTTTTTCCGCTCAAGATTGATCCAAAATTTTAAAATTGAACAGGCATGTGCATAATTATTTTGAATTTTTTTAAATAACTTAGATCACTAAAATCCTTATTAAGCAAATTTAAAAAACGGGGGACTTCGTAAGGTGGAAATAACACGACTTCGTTATGCATGTAATAGATAAACCATGTTATCTAAATATTGATCTTCGATTCCTTATCCAGAAATTGCTTTTATTTTCTATTCATATTCATAGTGTATCGTAATTAAGGCAGGTATAATATAAATGTATCTGCTGTAATTTAATTGAAATTAATATTACGCTGAAGTCAGATTGACATATTATAAAGGTAAACAGGGAAAATTATTTTTTTAAATGGTTATCATGAAAAGACTGGCTGATCAAATTCTCTATGAAGAAATAAATAAATACATTCAGATACATTCCATCCTTATCGTGGTGGCAACGAAAACCTTCTTCAGGAGGATTATTATGCAAAATGATTTCCCTTTCAAAAATTATATACTAAGCCCTGCGGAAAATAATCCTGAATGTATTTTACACCTGTCAGCTTTACCGGCAACCTGTCATTAACAGATGATAAATATAAGGTTCTGCGGCAAGAACATAATAGCCTCAAATAGAAAATTCAGTTTGCACTCGTACGTTGAGCGTTCCCGATATTTAATAACTGCCGAACTACACTGCAATTAAGTGGCAATCTGACAAAACCTATAGTGGAATATGGTAATGAAGAAGAGATTTGGCACTAAAGAGAAAAAACTTTCAGATTTTAAAGTTGATTATCAACATTTTCATAATATCAATGGTCACGCCATAATTTCGATCACTAAATTTTTGTTTAATATTTTTTAAACCGATATATTGGTCACTTGGAATAATCGGATTGAATATCAGATCATGTGCAAAGTATGGTGATAAAACGTTCGATTATTTTTCTAAGCTTTTATTTTGCACTTAATTAAACCTACTTAGCAGGCGGCATGCGCCTTACCTAATTAGACGACTGTATGTGCTATACCAAATTAGATGACGGGATGCACAGTGCCTAATTAGACAACAGGATGCACAATGCCTAATTAGACAACAGGATGCACAATGCTTAATTAGACAACTGGTTGCACAATGCCTAATTAGACAACGGGATGAGCAATGCCTAATTAGACAACGGGATGCACAATGCCTAATTAGACAACTGGTTGCACAGTGCCTAATTAGACAACGGGATGTATTATGCCTAATTAGACAACGGGATGCACTATACATAATTAGACAACGGACTGCACAGTGCCTAACTAGACAACGGGGTGCGCTATGCCATATAAGGCGGTGGAATGCGCTACATCTAATTGGATGCCGGGATGCACTACAGCTTATGACGGCGGGATGTGCTATAATTAATTCGACGTCGGGGTGCGCTGTACAAAATGCAATCAATCCAGCAAGGTAGAATTTGACAAACTAAATCCACTGATAAATTAATTATTAACTAAGGATAAATTATTTGCTCTACGTGGCCAGAGGTCTAAATCAGCTGTAAAAAGCGCTTTTCGTAATTCAAAAATTATCATTACATGGAAGAAGTAATAAATTTTCAATTTCATCAATGAGTTGAGGTCAGTATAATTTTTTTCAATTATAAAAGTTATCGCATGACATTGAGTCCGAACTTATGACATCGACTGAAAAGAAACTCCATCTCTCCTCCATGAAGGGCGACGAAGCGATTTGGGCCAACGGCGCGGTGGTCGGTAACACCACAAGCGGGTGTTTTTCCCCGACCCTGGGCCAATCTCTGGCCTTCTGTTACCTTCCTCCAGTGCTGTGCTATCCCGGAACGACGGTTGAGGTAAATAACAGAGAGTATTTGTTTATTTATTTAGCTATCGATGGTAAATAATGGTAAAGATTTAATACGACCCTCTGACACTTGGAGGTTCTCTAGCCTTCTAGCTGATCCTCCCTCCAGTGCTGTGCTATCCCGGCACTACGGTTGAGGTAAATGACTGTGTATTTGTTTATTTATTTTAATATCGATGATAAATAACAGTTAAGGTTTAATACGCCTCTCTGACACTGGGACGATCTCTTGCATTCTGTTACCTTCCTCCCGTGCTGTGCTATCCTGGCACGACGGTTGAGGTAAATAACAGAGTGTATTTGTTTATTTATTTGGATATCACTAATAAATAGCAGTTAAGGTTTAATACCCCTCTCTGACCCTGGGACAAACTCTGGCCTTCTGTTACCTTCCTCCAGTGCTGTGCTATCCCGGCACTACGGTTGAGGTAAATAACGGTGTATTTGTTTATTTATTTGGCTATCGATAAGAGATAATGAGAAAGATTTAATACGCCTCTCCGACAACGATCTCACTGGGACGAGTTCAGTTAAAATGTAAACATGAATCTTTTCTTCTTTTAGCGCATTTTCTCATTTATGGAAAAAATGCGCTATTGTGCTCGTCATGTCAATCCGTCTGTCTGTCCGTCTGTCCGTCTGTCTGTCCGTCTGTCCGTGACTTCACGTTTTCGTCGACGAGAAAATGCGCTCTCTGTCACTCACTGCAATGAGTACCGATTTATATATTTTTCTTATATTTCTTATAGCCCGAGCTCATCTTTTACTTCAAATCGTTGTAATTTAACTTCTCATTAGTTAAAATCCTGCATTTAGTGTAAGTTAAAAGAAAACTAGAGTAAAATTAATCAATTAATTATCAACTGCACCAATATATGATTTTATGGTTATCATGCAGAGAAATTCCTTCACATGGACTTCCGTAATATCAAACAAAAGATCAATTGCAGTTTCTTCCAAATTAAGCAACGTACTGTAAGCTTATCTCCGTGCAATCCAGTTATCATTTTTACATTCCCCTTTTCGCAGGAACTTGAGACATGTGGCAAGGTTTTTTCTGTGGATGTCTTATGCTGCATTTCTCTCCAAAAAGTCACCTATAAAGTTAGATCCACGTGTAATTTTACATTCCATTTTTCGCATGAACTTGAGACATACAGCAAGGTTTTTCTGTGGATGTCTTATACTGCATTCCTCTCCAAAAAGTCATCTATAAAGTTAGATCCACTTGGAAAAAGTACGCGTTCATTCGTTCGCTGCCAAGAAAAGACTTGCCCTTGATGGCGTCAAGATCCAATTTACGTCATTTTTATGTTTCCAGGTACAGATCCTGAACGAGTTGCTGCCCGCTACTGTCCTCGGTGACCGTCCCGTCGAGACTTACATCCAGCGCAAAAAGAAGCTCAATTAACAACACCGTCTGATATACATATATGGGATTAGTTTCATTGCGTTACTCCAATATTGGAATATATTGTTAGTTTCTCCAATATATTCCAATGGAATATTTCCAATATTATTGGAAATACTGTAACGTTTTTGGCATGAAGGTTATTAACTATGTGTAATAATTAATAAAATAATATGATCATAATAATTATTAAAATAATAAACAGGAAAAATCCTTACGTTTTAATAAATTTAATGTTTGTTTTGTACTACTTCGGGAAGTAAACTATAACATATTATGTTATTGATTCATTTAAATGTTATAGATTATGGAGGAACTAAAAACATTATCCGGTATATTACGCCCACAGATATATTACAATCACTTTGATAAAGCAACAATGAAACAATACAAATCCAAATAAATTTTATTCGGCAGGAAATTCACAGTAGCCCTCAAAGTAGCCAGTAGCTGTCGAGGTAAACTACGAACATCAAATAAATCCTAATCTTCGGTCACCCAGCAAGCGATCACAATTTGAGTCAAGTGTACAAGTACAACAAAAGACTTGAGATTTCCAACGACCATTCCAAAAAACTTATTTTTTTTTCTCTTCTACGCTGCCACTGCCTTTACAAAGATAATGTCTGTGCAGCGAAATCATTCTATTCCTAAAGCGGGCTGTTTTCTTTCTCGTTAAGCTTTCAATTACGTAAAATTATGACGGTTGGGAAAGTCGCCAGATCGAAGCGCGAAAAGAGCTCATAAAAAGAGTGAGATCGGAGGAAGAAAAAGAGGGAAAAAGAGCGAGATCGAAGCTGGAAAAGAGCTCATCAAGGAGATGCCAGTTATTCTTGTCACTTTGTGATGGCTTCATCCCAGTTTTCTGCGACGCAATTGTTTAAGGCACTGGGCGTTCTAAAAGTCCAACTCTGTGCGCAATCCATCCTGGTTCACGACGGAGCTCTTTGTCAGCAGAGATGGAGTGGCAGTAGATCTTCTCTGCGGACGGACTCTGTGAAATTTGGGGCTGTTCGCTGGATTTGTCTTTGCTTCATAAATAAACAACTTTATCAAGTATATATGGCATTAAGAATGCCAACTTTTTTGCCAGATGTAGCATATTGGACGTTATATTCACTATGTACATAATTATTTTGCAATCATTTTTTTTGCTTGAATAGCTATTAGAATTTAAATTATTGAGTGTTGAACAGATATATTTCAGGTCGAGGTTTGGTTTTCAAACTATTCGAGAACCAATGTCAATATAAATACATGATTTTCACAAAATTATTCAGTCACGAAAAAGTATGTGATAGCATAGGTTAATCATTCTTAGCAGCAACACATTCCCCAACAAATTTGATACAGTTGAATGCTTACGAATTTTTTTCAGCAGATGCTGGTACAATCCCGACTTTTAAAAACTTTGGTCGATCTTCATTTGAAGCTGTCAACTTTACTGCCCATGCTGTTATAACTTATCTCATATGTTGCTTTAGCTTTTCAATTCCCACTGCCTCTGAGAATAAAGTGAACAGAGGATTACAATGTAAAATTTAAACGGATGCAAAGAAAAATTCGCCATGGTAGTGTTTTACGTAACGAACATGAGCTACCGTGAGCGTAGTGGCAGCATGAACATTTTTGCAAACTTTTTTGAGCGAATTATTGTTACATCAGAGGACAATTGGACAATTTTGAAATGAATTTATTGTACAGTAAAGTAAATTGGATGAATTACCACCCAAAATTTTTGAAGCAAGAATAAAACAGAAAAGTTTATCCAAATAAATTTAAAATTTATTTATAGCGCATTTTGTCCTTTAAGGAAAAACTGCAGTATTGTGCTCGCCATGTCCGTCCGTCTGTCTGTCCGTCTGTCTGTCAATCTGTCCATCTGTCTGTCCGTCCGTGACCTCAAGTTTTCGTCGACGAGAAAATGCACTCTCTGTCACTCACTGCAGTGAGGACTGAGTTAGATTTTTCACATTTGCATACGATGTAATATTTTACTCACTTGTGTTTTTCCGTTGCGTATTATTATTTATTCTTAGCTATTTTACGGAAATAATATCTTCTTAGCTTTTTTATTAAATACCATATTACGGTAGCACCAACGGATATCTAAACTCTATCGATGGCTAATCACGTGTAATAATGAACATATGAAAATTGCAACCTCCATGAATGAAAGTAATGGGAAAAATAATATCCATAAATGAATTGGAACGTTGATGGCTATGATAATGGCAGAAAAAAAATGAACTGCGCATTATTTTTTACTGCGCATTTCATTTAGAGCGATGCGAGTAAAATAGCACTATGTTAATAATTCCGACGCACACGTGTATGGATTACACACAGTGAGGTAATTAATCCCTGACATGTTTATCGCCAATTATTTGTTTGAAAATGTTTTCTGGACTGGGTTGGAATATTATATGTGTGTTTATGGACTGGAGTTGAATTTTAATGAGTGAAAATGTTTTTGGACTGGAGAGGAACTGAGTAATGGACGTGATGAAAGAAGAGAGGATAGCTCAATATATTATGAAATAGCAAGCTCCGGTATTCAATATGCAGCCGGAACATCTAACATGGACAGCGATTTTGTACAAACCAATGACAATGAGTTCTAAAAATGTTTCTGAAGATTTAGAAGTTGGCCAAAGACATGACCAAGGCAATCTCAAATCCCAAACTTGGTGAAGAGCTCAGTAAGCCATGAACTTACTGCAACGAAGCCCTGATACTCTTTAACCCTTGTGCGATTATATAGGTACAATTCTACCTAGAACACGATTATAACGTAGTGAAATTATGCATTCTAACAAGACAACAAGTACCCAGACTTCAAGATACCCCAGAGAATTCGTACCCAGAGTTCGTTTGAGGACACCAACCAAAGGCCATGCTGAAAGCACCACCTTTGACGGCGGCCAAATGTCGCCCTCAAGTGACGCCGAAAAATGAACTGAGCTGCCCAGCTCACACACAGCTAGCTCTTCTTAACTCGGAGCAGCTACCGTGCACTGCGCAGAGAAAGGCACTAACCACGGAGCTACAGTGGCGCAGCAAAACAACGGATTAAAAACAGATGATTTCTCCGGAAACGTGTACAAGAATTCACAAAACTTGCATGGGAAGGACCACCTTTGAATATAAAAATAAATTCATAATCAAACTGGTATGAACAATAAATTGCACTGGAATCAACTGCTGATGGACGAAAAAATGGTGAGATAGACGCAGTGTTAATTTTTCATAAATTAAAACCTAATATTATGCTAGTTATCTTATATCGGACCAAGCAAAATGAAATATTCCTGATTTGCATCTTAAATTCCATTATTAGATAAAACGAAAATGTATCTTGCGATATTCATGGTAAGAATTTACCAATATATTGGGGAGCCATATATGAGGAATTCAATCAACTTCTGTAACTGTGTTCATTTAACATTTACTTACGTTAAAATCACTCTATGTGTTTAAGACAAATATAAATGCTGAATAATTTCATTTACGCTTATAAAATCAATGGAATAAAAAGCACAATAATTTTGATTTCTAATTATGTGTCCTCGAAGAGGCACAATCGGACGACCTAGCAAGTCGCCAAAGAAGCCATTTCTATTCTATGGGTTGGATAGTGCTCGGGTTTGCCGGTCATTAGTTCCGGGTTTCTGGACCATAAAAGTCGCTTAAAGGAAGCTAATATTTGCACTCGGGAAATTTGTTGAGTATGATAATCTTCTGCTCTTACAATTAGAGAGAAGGTGAGAACAAACGAGAGCCATGACCAGCTCGATAGAGCGTGAAGGAAGCTTTACTGGAAGATTGTTGGACTCTTTCTTAATATGTGTGAGATCAGTCTCCCTCAATTTATACGACGATTGAGAGAGAAAGAGAGAGAATACGATCCCGGAGAAGAATTTTGATAAGGGGACGGTGTTCGGAGCTCGCAATCTGAGCTCAATCGCTGCTCAATCAGAGCTCAATGCGTTCGATGATTATATTTTAGTAAAGGAATTATTTAAATTCGAATTTAGCGAAAATTAGACAGGATGCGAAAATGAAACAAATACTAAACATACCTTCAGGCATCTGCGTGTGAAATATTTCGATAAATTTTAGTAATTACTTTGAATCTATTATTAATTCCACGAATATTCTTCATTTCATACGTCTTACATGTTATGACGCTTCATTTCATACGTCCTACATGTTAATAAAGTGTCTGCCACATCTTTCCATCGTTTGAAGTCCATTCTCGTCTAAGTAAACTCTTCACACTTTGAGCCGTGCCATCACAAATGAAATACGTCAGTTCAGACTCCATAAAACTTTAAATTATAATTTTAGAATTTTTGCCTCGCAGTTTATAGGGGCACTTGAAAAGTTGAGCTTTGCACCTCGACGCTTGGCATAGAAATGAAGCAGAGTTGGAAAACAGACGCCGTTCTTTTTCATGCTTATGGCGTTCATTTGTCTTAATTATCCTGATGGGGTAACCGAGGCTTTTTGAGATGCAATACGGCGCAAAATTTTGCCGCTCAAACATTTCTACTTTGAGGCCAGTCGACAAATTTTAATGTGAAATCATCTGCTGTAAGGTTGAGATCCCGGCCCGAATATGTTAAATCAAACATTAAGTAAACTATATTGCTGTTGAAATGCCGTTTATATTATTTATTGAATCCAAAAACTTGAATTTTGCAATTTAATGTTCAGTACTATAATCGAATTTATACACATAGATTTTACCTTTATCTGTACCGTGCGTCAACATAAATTATTTACTGAAATTGCCGGGCAAATATTTATGTCCAGAAGTAAAGTTTGGTATTGTCATAATTTTGATGATTAATTATTAAAAAATTTATTTATGTTATTTAATAAAAGTTGAAGCAAACCGATGTAAAAAAACGTACAGGGAATTCTAAGTTCCCGAATAAAACTTCAGGAACTTAGAATTTTTGTGAAAATTTTAATTTTGTTACTTCCATTGGAATTATTGAGAAATAATATTTAGCCGAAAAAGATCCCCTCCCCCTGCCAATGCATCATTTGCCTGCGAGGGAAAGGATAATTCGAACATTAACTCAACTTCAAATACAAAAAAATTCTTTTGACTCCTCCGAGACGACTGAAGTCATCCATACGACTCTCTATAGATGCTATTAAGCTCCATGAATACCAAAGTCAAATC